GCATGATTTTATGCATAGAACAACATTTTTCACGAACCGAGACAAAAGACACTAATGCAACTGACTAAACAATAACTTAATGCATGAAATAGATGCATAGTCATACTGATACGCATAAACTTACCCCACCGAACATAGGCACGACCTAATGCATATCACCCGACAATTCCCGACCGACTGCCGAATAAATTCTGAATAAACTTTTACTAAATCCCTAGACTGTACCTAGTCGAGAAATCCAATTAAATAAGCGACCAAGATTTTTCCCACAAATCAAAAGAACAAACCCCAAAATTTTCCTGAAACAAAATCCAAGTGCAAAAGGGCATATGCATATGAAAAAAAGGGGTTCAGAGGGCTCTTAGGTTTCCAGTTGGCTTGTCCTACGGTCAAGGTCGGCTCTGATACCAACTTGTCACACCCGGAAATTCTCGAACCAGAATTTCTAAGCTGAATGTGCATTAAATCCCTGTCCAGGACCAGCCAGAGTACACAAACGACAATTGTTGACATACAGACCCACATCTTACAAAAATATAAAAGATTACAAATGCAGCGGGAAAGATAAAAGCGAGCTAAACCGGGAAGCTTGACTTCAGCAGCGGGCGACTCCACTCCACAGGCAAACCTTGACGGCAGCGACGAAACCAACCTCTCTGAGACGGCTCCAACTGAGAAGAACTTCAACTCTGGTGTGGGGGAAAAGAGAGCAAGACTGAGTACTACCCACTGTACTCAGCAAGTCATACCGGAAGAGGAGGTATGATGCAGGATATAACCAAAGGAAGCTAGGGGTTCTTTTGCATAAAGCAGGCATTTCAAAGCAGTAGTTGAAAGCAGTAAAACAGCTGTAGTAATTAATCAATATTAACCAATCACTGTCCAACGCTACACCACGTTGCAACAGGCCCAACCAACCACCTGAACTACACCAGTTCATTAAGCTAAACTAGGGGTGAGACTAATCACGGTGAATCTGGTTGATCGCCCATAACCGCGGGCACGGCTATTCGAATAGTTTTACTCTGGCCAGAGGTGTACAACTGTACCCACAAGACACGATTCCACACATGTCGCCATGCCCCGAAGTATCACCATGATACTGCAAAGGGGGAAATCGTGACAAGACCCTCCACATAACCCTCCCCTAACCATCCACACCACGCTAAGGTTTCACCCCCACCCCTCAAAAGGCAGTGGACGGTCCCCTCTTGCGCCGCGGTGAATCCGGCAGCTGGACAACCGAACACCTCGGCCGACCCAACTCCATCACGCCCACCCTCGCCACCGGTGCCTAGGAAAGGGTCGAGCTATACTTCAGATCAAGCAGTTACCCACTCCCGCTTGTGGTAAGCACGGTAAGTCTCCCAGGGTTTCCCGTGAACCGGTCCTTAACTGCCATGGGTGCGACCAGCAAAACCATGCACCCACAGCCCACCATTCAGTGCATTTTAATTAACTAACACCATTGCGGTGGCACCAATCCAAAACTATGCTAATAGACAAAGTCTATGTAATAATGTGATCCCTTTTTGTGTACTAGTGGAGCTAAGCATGGCTAAGCATTTCCTAAACCAACATCTAATCATTTTGATACCCAGGTTATCAATGGCATATGGTAAACAATAAATGGCTGAGTAATAGGACCCATCCCACATGACATTGTAAAAGAATGCAACATTTAATAGAAATGCAGGGTGTTTGTAAATTGGGTACAAAATGATCAAATGTAAAGCATGACTTGCCTTGCTCTCAAACTGATGAGACCTCAGCAACGTCTTCGAGAAACCGCGGATCGACGAAACGGCCGAAACCTACGCGACAAACAAAGCACGCAAGCAAAACATGCTATAAGACTACTGAAACAGGAAACAAAACCATTTTTAATGGATTCTTTGCATTTTTCTTGATTTACTGAGACTTGAATGGACTTAAACGGAGCTCGGATGAATTACTTATGAATTTTAGAAGATAAACTGTATTTTTACTAATAAAGAAAAAGCCTTAATCATTTTATTGCGCAATAAAGCTCAGGGCTGACGTCAGCGAAAGGGGGGGCGGCGCCGGCAAGCGGGGCCCGCATGTCAGCGGCTCAAGGCGGCCGGTCCACGGGGCCAAGGGTCCGGATCGGCCCGAGCCGATCGGACGGTGCAGGGAGCAGCCACCGGGCTGGGCCTCGGCTTCAAGCCGGCCGGCAAGCATGGTGAACGGCGGCGGCATGCGGTCGCCGGCGGTGGCAACCGGCGGTGTGGGAGGCGGCGGCGGGCGGCGCGAAAAACGGCGGCAGCGGCCGAAGGCGACGGCGCACGCGCGAAGGACGGCGGCGCACACGGGAGAGAGGGAAAAAGGGGAGCAGAGGGGAGCCTCACCGGCGAGCACGGCGACCAGAGCGGAGGATGAAAGGCGGCGGTGACCCGGCGACGAGGAGGGGCGGACGGGCGGAGGCGACACCTATAGGAAAAGAGAAGAGGGATTAGGGGTGGAGAGGACAACCGCAACGACCAAAGTGGCCGGCCGGAGATGGATGAAAAAGGAGAGCTCACCGGCGAGCGAGGGAAACGGGGCTTCGGGGGTGATTGGCGGCAACCAAGCGGCGGCCGTGGAGCGGATGGCACCCGCGAGCGCGACGACGGCGGCTTCACGGCGCGGCAGCGGCTCTAGCGGCGGTGGCGCGTGGCCGGAGACGGCGGTAGGCGGCGGCGCAAGGGGCGAGCGGCGCGGCGATGATAGGAAGCACGGGAGGGCGCGGCGAGTGCGAAAAACGAGAGAGGGGGACGTGGGGAGTGATTTATAGGTGCGGGAGGGGGCGGACGTGGCCGGGGAGGTGACCGATTTGGCCGGCGACGTGGGGGTGGAGAGAGAGAGAATGGGGGGGATTCAAATTCGAATCCCGCCCCTTGCGAGCGCGCGCGAGGGCCGGGAGATGCGGGGGAGAGGGCGGCGACGTGGGCGCGAGGTGCGGGCGCGGAGTGGAGGCGTGACGTGGAGCGGAGAAGGCAGCGGCGCGGGCGGTTTCGGCGGCGGTTGCCATCGTGGGGCGGGCGGCTGGAGGAAGGGGACGACCTGACAGGTGGGCCCCACCTGTCAGCGTCCCGGAGAGAGGGGAAGGGGAACAGGCCGGCCCAAAGAAAGGAGGCCGAGCGCGGGAGGGAGTGGGCCGACGGCCCAATAGAGAAAAAAGAAGGAAAAAAAAAGAAAAAGAAGAAAGGATTTTTTCTGGGATTTAAAATTGCACTTTGGTGATTTTTAATTGGTTAAAATTATTTCCAAGGCTCTGAAAATTCCACTAAAAATCTTGTTAATGTATTGGAGCATGGGGAACTCAAGAAAAATTCCACCACGCTATTTCCGATTACTAATTGCATTTATTAACTAGGGATTTAGCTCTAGGTTAATTAAGGTAATTTCTTCGGGCAATTTATTTAACCAATTTTTAAAGCAAGAAAAAGGGGAGGAAACTTCAGGGTGTGACACTTGCGATACCACACAGGGATAGGAGACGGGATCACATCCCCTAGCATTCCGAATAAATATCCCACGCATCTAATGCTTGATACCGTCGAAAAAATTCACAGATTGCAAAATACTGTTGTATACTTGTATTTGTCATTAACATGTGGATTAATGCCCTGCATGCTATTTTCCCATGATATAGATATTTTTATTAAAAAGTCAAACTTTTAAAATTTTAACACCATAAAAATACTCGGTTTATATCAGACAAAATAATGTCTTAGATTTACCATCAAAAGTGCCACTCTATTGTAATACTATAAAACATTAGATTTTACATACTTATTTGATAGAATCTTATATTAAATTTATTTCTTTTACAACTGAGAAGAGTTTTTTTTTTCAAATATGTATGTTCCTACACACCCGATTAACCTCTGGACGATAAGGGCAACATCGGTATTATCACCTAATATCTAAACGACAAGGGCAACATCAGTATTATGGTGATAATGGTTGAGTCGTGGGGTGCATAACACACCAACTAGTGTCTAAATTTTAGTGCCTACAAATATTACGTACAACCAAATAAGGTTTAAATAGAATTCTACTGAGGGTAAGAATGTGCCACTAGTCAGGGACGGATCCAACATGGGTGCAGGGGGGACTAGGGGACTCAAGTCCCTCCTACACCCACAAAACCCATGAATACCCCCCGGAGCACCCCCCTCAATTTTTTTCACCATAAATGATAAACTAAAGGCCTCTAAATGGCTGAAGGTTAAAGAAACTGCGACTGCGTAATTGAGCCCCCCCAATTTTTTTTGTTCCTGGATCCGCCCCTGCTGCTAGTCTCCATCTCTTTGAGTAGGTGTTAAGGATGCATTCACAACCGGTATGTGTGTGACGTCTTCGTCTCTTTTGCATGTGGTGTTAACTTGGGGGCTTCTAATGGGCGATCAGTCGCCCTGGCAATGGGGGTAGCGATCAGATTCTCCCCCCTCCCCCCACCTGGTTTCTTTTTTTTTGATACCGCATTACTTTCCTATTTTAGTAAATTTATGCACCTAAAGTTTATACAACTCAAGTTTACACATCTAAAGTTTAGAGACCAAAGTTTATAAGTCAAAAGTTTATATATCCGATTTAAATTTAAATTTGATATTTTTTTATATATAGTATTTCTATACATCTAAAGTTTATACACCTAAAGTTTATAAGTCAAAAGTTTATATACCCGTTTCAAATTTAAATTTGAATTATATCTGATTCAAATTTGAATTTGAATTCAAATATTTTTTATAGTATTTCTATACATCTAAAGTTTATACACCTAATATTTTTTATATATAGTATTTCTATATATAATTTTTTCTAACTTTTGTTTGTTTTAAAAAAAATTGTGGTGTACCGTATTAGAAAGAGAAAAGGGGGAGAAGGAAAGGGGAGAAGAGGGAGGAGTATAGGGGGGCTGATCGTGCGGGGTTATGGGAAACGGAAATCGGAAGCGATCGATCGCTAAATATCCTTTCCGGTTAACGGGTGTCGTGGCTGGTGTGTTCGCGTGGGACGTGTATGACTGACAATTAGCATCCGATCGGGACCGTCCATCGCGTGAACGGGCGGCTCTCGGCCCGTAACCGATGCAACGCCCGATCCGACGAGCAGTGGATAACGCTTCCGGCACTCCGTCGTCTTCCTCCCACCCCGAAAAACCCACACAGAGATCCGGCCACGCGCCACCGCGATGCTCGCCACCACGCGCCTCCCTCCTCCGCCCGCCGCCGCCGCCGCCGCCGCCGCCACCCCAACCCCTCCCGCGCGCGGCGGCGGAGGCGGAGGCGTGGAGTTCCGCCGCAAGCTCTACTTCCTCTCTTCGGAGCTCCACCTCGACCCGTTCCCTCTCCTCGCCCTCCACCCGCCGCTCCGCGCCGCGCCGCTGCCGCAGCTCCGCGCCTCCCTCGCCCTCCTCCTCTCGCACGGCCTCTCCGCGGGCGACGCCGCCCGCGTCTTCTCGGCGTTCCCGTCGCTGCTCACCTCCCCTCCCGGCGAGCACCTCCGGTTCCTCTCCGCCGACGCGCCGCTGCCGCCCCCGCTCCTCCGCGCCGCGGTCGTCCGGTCCCCGCGCCTCCTCGCCGCGTCCGTCCCGGGGACGCTCCGCCCGGCGCTCCGCTTCCTCCGCCGCCGCGTGGCGCTCCGCAGGAGGCCCCTCCCGCTCGCCGCCGCGCTGCTCCTCGCCTTCTCCGTCGACCGAACCCTCCTCCCCAAGCTCCTCTTCCTCCGCGACGCCACGGGGATGCCCGACCCTGCCGTCTGCGCCATCCTCAGGCGCGCCCCGGCCATCCTCTCCTACGGGATCCAGACCAACCTCACGCCCAAGCTCCGGTTCCTCGCCGACCGCATGGGGAGGGACCCCGCCGTCGAGCTCGCCGAGTTCCCGCACTACTTCGCCTTCAGCTTGGAGGGGAGAATCAGGCCGAGGCATGAGGCATTGAAGGAGAGGAGAGTTCAGATGTCGCTCAAGGACATGTTGACAATTAGCGATGATGAGTTCAGAGAGCGGCTGGTTGACGCGGCTCTCTCGGCTCCTAGGTAGAGGATTTGCAGTTGGAAGCATGATATGCATGGACAGAGAGGGCTGGGTACAGGAATAGCAGTGCTGGAGTTTGTGTTTGATGAAGAAGATTACTTTCCGGTGGGAATGGGATGAATGGCGTCACCAACAATTCGAAGAATAAAATTGAGCATAAGGCCTAAATTCAAGGAAGAGGATGTGCGCTAAGTTGGAAGCATGATATGCATGGACAGAAAGGTAGCTGCACTAGTATGGATACATGAATGGCAGTGCTTATGTTCGTGCGTGATGAAGCTTATTTTTCCGGTGTTATGAATGGCATCAGCTACAATGCGAAGAATAAAATGGCTTTCTGTTGTTACTTTGGGTTCAGCATAAGGCCTTGCATTAGGCAGAGATATATGAAGTTCACAAGGAGAGGGGCATTGAGATTAGTAAACAACCTCAATGAATGTTCATTGGGTATTGCATAAGCATCATTCCAGGAAGCAAAAAAATGAGTGATAAGAAAAAGGATCCTGCTGCTAAGCTCATGATTGGTTTACAGGTCATCTCATAGCCTTTGTAAAAAAAATCGCTGGGGCATGAGCTGTTTGAGGAGAGGCAATTTTGGGATTGATTGATGGTGAAGCTGCGGGTCTCCGTAAGGTTAGCTGCATGGTAGCTGGCCACAATAGTTATATTGACAGCACGTTGGATTGCTTTTTTAGATGCAGATGCTTCATGGAGTGCCATGAATTTTATCATTGGCTCAGTGAATGCACTAATTGACTTTGCTACTGTTTTGAGATCATGAAGGATTTTATGCGATCATGTGAAAGACTTGTTTTCTTATTCACCTTTTGGACAGTTGGAAAAATCTGAATGAGGAAGATCTGATTATGTTTGTTAAACAGTCAGCTCTTTTCAGATCAGATTAGCCACCCTTTGCAAGTCAAGAACCAATAATGATACCAATGCTTTGTTCTGGGGTTATGAATTTTTCTTCGTTGGGGGTAATTTTGTGTGTGTTTAGCTTGTTTATAACTTGTTAAGAGGACTATGATGCTCGAGATAACCAGTTCCGTGGGGACATTTGCCCTTGGGACTGTTTATGAGGTTTGTATTCAGCCTCTTCTCTTCCGGATCAAGCCACGTAAGTGTGCTACTAGCAGTTGATACACCTGACTGGATCCCAGAATTTTTCCAGCTAGCACAAAAGAGTTTGATCTAGCATTTAGAACAAGCTGTGATGAAGATTATGATTTGTACCTGTATATATTCATCCATATTTACAACAGTATGGGACAGTGCCTACTCTTATATGTTACATGTTAAAGCCTCCTAGAAAAGAAGTTAAGAATCCATCATCAATGGTGGCAGTCAGCAGCATCATAAAGTTCTGGCTAGCAAGATTCCACTCCTTTTATGCCCCTTGTGACATCAGTGAGTGTCCTGGTAGCCAAAAGATAAACAAGATGCTCAAGGCATGGGGATTCTTTTCACATCAGTTAGTTGCAGCACGTTGCTTGATTTGTCCTTAGGAGTTTCTCCCACATGCATAGCATGTGCCTTGGTTCTTGGTAGTGAGCAACGATGCACCCATCATTGCAGCCATCACTGTTAATTCTTTCATCTGTTTTGTATTGGACAGGTAACCCACCCTTCTTCATTTCAGCAATCCATATACCCATTGCTACATCTTCTAGTTTGAACATCTGCATAAACCAGGGGTTGCAAACATGGTTAGTTTTCCTAATCTTGCAGCTGGTAGGAGAGAAAATCAGGAAATGAAAAGCTAGGGTTTTAGGTATTGTAATAATTTTCTATGAGCTTGCAGTTGCAGTGCTGTATGCTGGACTAGATAAGAATTTGCTGCATTTTCTGTAGCAAATTTTCAAGTTAAATTTAGCATGTAAGTGCAGAGCCACTGTTTGTGTCTACATCTAAATACAAATACCTTCAAATGACTTGTTTCATACCAACTGTTGATTTCCTTTGCAATGTCTTGTGATACCACATATCCTGGTCCGTGTGCCCATGGTGGGTATTTCTCTTCAGGCCATTCCTGCAGAGCAAATCACAATTCATAGTTAGCACTTGTGTTTCTTGACCATCCAAAAATATCATCTATGATCCCCTTTGTCTTAGTATGGTGACTGGTTGCAAATTGATTTGGTTATTTAGTATAAACATCCTCGGACATATTGTAGCTTGTGTATTTGGAATATTGGATTTCAACGATGAGTTCAGATTGAAAATGTTTACAATATTGATGTTTTTCAGGTAGAGATTTGTGAATTTGATTGCACAGAACTGATTGTTGTGCAGACATTACCTCTGGGCTTATGTACCATTTGCTCTCAGGATTTCTGTGAGGACCTGAGTCAGAATTGATACGACCATAAAGTAGGCCGTGACTGACATTCAGTTGTTTTACTGAGGAGTGTATCTCGTCCACACGGACAAAAGCATCATCGTCTGTTTTCATCAGATATTTCGCTGATACAGCACCAGTCTGTTCAGGGGAAAACCACTGCTAAGTGCTAAGCAAAGACAAACAAGAAATGGAAGGGAATGAATTAGAGGTAGAACATGAAACTTTACCCCGTAGATGCATATTGCCAGTGTCTTCCATGTTATCAGACTGTAGTAATCAACAAAGGGCAGCACTTGAATGTCGCCATATGTGCGTGCTTCATTCCAGAGTTCCTTGTTTACAATGAGGTTTGTATGCTTTTAAAACAAATAAAAAATACATTTACTGTCAGAATATAGTACGGAGCTATTATATCATATTCTTGTTTTGTTTTTATTACCAGGCCAACGAAAAAACGGACCACTACTGCTCCTTCGCGCACCGCATCATATTGCATCCATGTCCGTCGGATCGCCATCCTTCGTTTGAAGTTGTTTGCTGTTGAAAAGATACCAATCAAAAGGTCCACATCTTTTCCCTCTGGAATAGGTGACGACTTCAACATTGCAAGATCGAAGCTGTTCTCCAGGTCTTCTGATGTGGGCAGGCCACTTGCAATTGCACTTACTAGCTTGAAATCACCAGATACTCCTACTTCAGTAACGAACCATGCTTCCAAGCCCTACAAACAGAAGCATCTATATGGTAAGGAGTCAAATAATTGAGTTGAGTAAATGTCGGACTTATCATGGTCCAGATAGAAGGTTACCGCTTTATATGGAAATGAGGTAACATGTTTTCCATCAACTGTCATGTGAATCCCTTCTAGCCCTATCCGAAGAGTTGAGATAGCAAGGTGTCCCTGCTTAAATGGAAAATATGTGCTTGGGTGTTCATCTTTCTTGGCATTCAGGTGCTGTTTTGAGTTTATAGCTCTCTTCTCTTCTCTACCCACCATGGAATTACATCGCTCCAAATCATCCACTGTGATATATGTTAGATGACTAGTGTAACGGGGCAAAGAAGAAACAATAAAGACGCAATTTGGAAGTACCTTGAGTTGCATTATTACAGTTACTGCAGGGACATCTATCCTCATAACCCCAGCCATTACTTGCAGTGAAGGCATTCTGCACTATGACTGGACCTCCAGTAAGTTCATCACTTGTTAGACGAACATCATAGTGCAGTACGATGGGTTTCCCAGATCCCCCTGGCAATTCTGTCCCAACAAGATCAATCCTGAAGTTACCGGAGAGGCTACCTGGAGTGCCTATAATAGTTACTGAAGAACCTACAATCAGCCCACAAGGTATATCGATGGTAAAATCTCCAGTGTCTGGCTTGGAGGCATTCATTCTGTGGATAGAATATGGACACTGCCTCTCTTTCTTAATCTGTTTAGAGGTTGAATTGTGAACTGATATCGTCAGGTTTTCCCATGCAGTTCTTGCATTGTCTATAGCCTCATTTGCGTGAGGAAGGCCATCGGAGATGTTGGTCAACTGCTTCATGTGATTCCATGTATTTAACCACTGAAATCCTTCAAGAGAGGAATTTCCGGAATCCGAGCTGTTTGAAGCTGAAGCATCTGCTGGTATCACTTCTACTGGTGTATTATCTGGATTTTGAGCCACTGAATTTCCCAATGAGTCGCTCAACCAACCAAGGAGATTAGAATGTATGACTTGGTATCGAGATGGCCCTGACACTGGGCTATTCACTATCAGATGATGCACAATCAGCAGAGGGAAGAGGACGATTAGAACCGTAATTCCGAGTCGCTTTGTCACCCACATCTGCAGTGCCGTTTCCATCAGTTATCGTGGCAATCACCTGAGTTCAATGAAAATGCAGCCCCTGAGTCTTCAATCCAAGCTTCTGGTCAAGGTCCAGCATTTCACCTGCCAATGCAATTGATGTTACTGCTTCTTAGGAGTACTACAATTTGTGCATTTCCAATCAGACATATTTTGATGGACTTTCAGTCAAAGTTCAGGGAGGTATGTGGACTTTTTTCCTTTTGATAAATATGCTAAAGTTGATGACATGTCATCACATGTTAAGACCAGCAGCAACAAAGGAAATGATCATTCAAGAAACTGAGATCTCACAAGAAGAGCACATAGACTGGGAGCAGTTTTGGTTGACTGGAAAGGGTAGCTGCTACCGCTCTTTCTGTGCACGAAAATGACTGTCAAATCCGACGGCCTTGTGCCCAATTTTCGTATCTGTACTACAACCACTACCTGGAGTACAACCAGGTGATACGAAAATGCAGCCGGAATTGGCAAGCATACCATGCACCGTAGCGGACCAGGCACCCTCAGCCGAAGTCAAGTCCTGCACATGCCTCACGCAGTCTTTGAACGTTGTGGCATTCTGGCTTGCTTAGCAAATTTTCAACCAAGAAATGGATACTCGTAACAAAATTGGAAGAGAAAACCATGAATGTTCGCTTATATTCTATTGAATTTCTGGAAGTAGAGAAATCGAAGAATTTTCTAACATATCACCACAATGGTGTCGGAACTCAGAAATGGCCTGTAAAGCCAAAGAGAACATTGGGCTTTGAGCAGAGGAGTGTGCATCCATAGCCCTCTAGCGGCATGCATGTTTCCTTCTCTTCTCTTCCCTTGAGTTTTATGAGTTTATCTGACTAAACACCTTAGTTGCAACATGCAAAACCCCATGCTTTCTCCTTAATTGATCGGTAGAGTTACTACCCAATTTTCTTCAAAAAAAAAAGAAATGGAAGGGTCCTAAGATTTATCGCCAGAACTATACCACTCTTACCAACGGCGATAACAAGATGGTGAGAGTAAAAGCTAATAAACGGAACACAAACACTAGCATGATTGCTGTATCGGCTATATATATATGGATTAAAGCTATCTGAAATCAACAACAAACCACGAAGAGATGCTTGAATCAAGTTCATGGAGATGGAAATTAACGAAGTAGTCCAAAAAAAGAAGAGAGGAAAAAACGGATATTAAATCAAATCGCCTCACGAACAGACACAGAGATGCATATATGCTTAATTACCTAGGGAGATACGGCGATCATCCAGGAGAAGGGAGGAGAGAGAATACGACGAGTTCAGGTTCAGCGTATGCCTTGCCTCCGGGCTCCGGGCGTGGAGTAGTGCCGTTACCGCGGGCGAGAAAAAACGAGAGGGCAAAAGTATATAGAAGACGATTGCAAGGGCGGCAACCGGCGCACGTTGTTGGCCTGGTCCTCGATCGTTTCTCAATTCGTTTTTTTTTTAAAGAGAGGGACACAGACACATTGTACACACTCCATCCAAAATGATATCTTCTCCCCGTTTATCGAATCGAACCGAATCAGGGAGGGAGCCAGCCGGCCTTGGAACCTGCCTCTCCCCTGCGGCTGCGAGCACACGACTAATAAGCTAGTGGAAGTAGAACTAACAAGCTTTGGTTTAATTGACGCGCGCACGTACCGGCGTGCGCCATAATCAGCTAATCGCATCGCGCCGCCGTTTGGGATGTGGGCAATGGCGAACCCAGAAGAAAAATCAGCGGGAGTCAATACATGCTAACTAGTACCTAGTTATTGGTTGCTAGTATTGCTACTAACTAACAGGAGTGGATTCTAATCCCTCGAGAGGGATATCCCCTCGTATACCTTTTTCTTCTAAATTCGATGTAAATAGTTGTGAAAAATTCTGAACAAATTAACAATGTAGAGTATAATGATACCCACTAGTCCACCAAAATTCATATTCAAATTCGATCTACACATCGAGAAACAAAAAAGACAAATTTAGATATAAATAGTACACTACTATTCATACGCTGAATTTGTCTTTTTTATATCTCGACGTGTGAGTTGAATTTGGACTTAAGATTTTGTGGAGTTATATATATGTGTTGTATAAATGTTGCCAAATTTTTCTAGAATTTTTCATAACCGTTTAGATAGTTTTTGAGTAAACGAGGAAACATCCACTCGAGGGTTAGAATAGTTTCCCCTAACTAACTAACTAATATAGTATAAGTTAAAATAGGATTGAATAATTTACCCTGAGTCACAGGCCCCGGGTAGTACTACATATGAATGCCCCTGGATGTGGGGCCAGTAGGTGCTGGCATCGATCGTGGCTTGAAGCTCGTGGCTTGAAGCCGGCCCCGTTCTTTTCTCCGTTAAGAGTTGGATTAAATTTTAGATACTCGTGACACGTTTTTCAAACTGCTAAACGGTACGTTTCGTGTGAAAACTTTCTATATTAAAGTTATTCTAAAATATCATATTAATCTATTTTTTAAGTTTGAAATAATTAAAACTCAATTAATTACACGTTATTACAACCTCGTTTTACGTGAAACACTTAATCTTCATCTTCAGGACATTCAAACACCACCTATAGTGAGCTTAATTTGAATCTGCTCAAATTTGTAGTCTTAATTGGTTGGGTTTTAGCTTGTGAGTTTAACGAGCTAGCTCACAAGCTATTCGTTTAGTAAGCGATCACCATTTTTTTATTTATTTAGTGTTTTTTCTATAGTTACATCGAAACTATTTGTATTTAGTGAGTTTTTATTAGTTAGTTGTATTTATATATATGATAAAATGATAAATTTAAAATATAAAATTGTATAAATACATTATTGAGTCTAATGAGCTTAATGAGTTAGCTCGTGAGTCGAGCCGAGTTGGCTTGTTAAGATAACAAGACTTAGCAAGCCGAGCTGGCTTGTTACGAGAAAGGAAAAAGAAAAAATATCGGGCATTCTCCCAATCACCTATTTCCACTCTCATGACTATCTCTCCCCCCCCCCTCCCCTCCCTCCCTCCTCTTTGTCTCTTTCCTGCGCAGGCACTTGCATCAGCCAGCGAACAAAGCGGAGTTGACACGATGGCTGACAGGAGCAGCGGGGGCATCCTCCCGTGCCGCTCTTCGGCAAGGTCTCATGGCACAACTCGACGTCAAGGAGTTGGAGGAAGACGATGGGTCCCATGTAGATCTGGAGGTGACGCGGCTTCCATTCGCCCGAGCAGTGACAACAACGTAGCTGAGGGCTGGCAACGATGGGGTGATGAAGCTCTGGGAGAGTGGTTATTGCTTGCTTCAATGGAGATAAAAGGGTCCGCAGTGTCCTAGCATGAGACTGAAGGAGCTGGTGGTCATAGGAGAGGAGGAAGAAGCCTAGTAAATTTTGTGTGTTTTTTGATGTTTCAACTAACATATCTTGATGTTTCTTGGGGTTGTATCAGTGTTGCACTAGGTACTTTAATGTTGTTTTATATTTTTGTCTTCGGTTCTTGCACATATATAGATATTTCAGCGCTTGAAGCTCAATGTTTCATTTGTGAAGAATGAAATGTTTTAATCTTAGATCCGACTTTGTTTCACCATTTTTTATCTATTGTGATATTTTTTGTCTTAGTGCTAAAATATTTTATTATTAGAGGTGGAAAAAAACCAAACGTTCAATTTATAATCTCTTCTGGCACATTGTCCGTCCCTAGTTTAGGAGAACAACATATTCTAGGTGAGCCTCAAGCATCACGTGACAACAAGAGTCACCACACCGCGGGTGCCACTTCTCCGCTCACCTGTGAAGTTGAGGATTGGATTCTTGGAACGAGGCTCCCACATACGTGCAAATGTGCCTAGCCTCCTAAACGTAGGGTGTGTTTGGTTGGATGGATGAGGCTGTACAGAAGATGGTCGTCCAATTTTTTGTTTTGTTTGGAGGGCAAAGTAGATGGGCGACCAAAAAAGGAATATCCCCTCTGTACGATGGATGAGTGGATCCGAACCGATTTGACCACATGAAGCTATTCATATTTTGATTTGGGTGGTGTGGCCTATTTCGATTGGCTATGATTGGTTTAATCTTCTATTAGCAAGATACAAATGATTTTTTTCTCGTAAACCGTTTATATAATATGTGATCCAATTACACAATTATAACAATTAAATATTTAAAACAAGATCTCAAATGTTTATATTTTGTTAAAATATATATGATAAATTGGCACCACTAAATTTTGGCGCATTTCGTTTATGTTATATCTATCCGACTAAGTAAGAAATTGGATCATTCTATCTATACAATGGTAAAAACAAATCAATACTTCTAATGCTGGCGGTTCCGCCGCTGCCAATTGGTCCAGATGGCACAACTTTTTTGTGACGCGTGTTAGACGGAGGTGAATCTTCGAGCGAGCGCTGAGCGCGTACAAGCGGTTGCATGTCTGGTTCGTGCCATTGTACAGCATCATGGGCCAGAATATGCACCTGACGCTCCAATGGGCTTGCATGGGCAGCATGGCCCATCTAGGATGAATAGATATGGTAAAAAATAATTATATCCTTTTAATGATACACATTGATTATTCAATTTAGACACTTTTAAAAATGCAATCCTAAAATGAATTCAAATTGGAATACGCATTACATCCTAAAAAATTAAGAATATACATTTTTATTAAAAAAAACAAAGGTTCTGAGTGCTCAAATAGAAAACGTGAAATTTCATTTAAAAACACCATTTTGCTTATTAACCGGGTAAACCTTAGTTAGCATTTGTTACTACTCTTTCTGCAACATTTTTACAAACACAAAAGTAAAACCCCATTAAAGAGTTGTATGGAATATTCCACGGGAATTGATGTACGACTTCCATAATAATTTCACAGGAATTGATGTAAAAGTAGTATTCTTATTTTACAAGGGACTATAAATAAAAATAGTATGTTTATGTCAGAAACCAATAGATGTACCAGCACTATTATTATTGTTTCGTTCATCACTATTTTAAACTCAAATTTTAAAGGACATTAAAAAAATTACGGGCTATAAAGATTGGGCGTGCCAACCGGCACGCCAATTTTCTAGTAAGGGTTGGTTTGGTTTGAGTCCTATATTGGCCTTACCAATATTTGGCAATTTCAATAGTGTTTATTGTCTATTTGGTTTGGAGCCAAATTTTGGCATGCCTAAGAAAATAGGCCATTTCAACAGTTAATTTAGGCTATTTTGGCTTCAATCCAAACACAATTTTACCTTTGCCAAAATTAGCCATGACAAAAGTTACCAAAATTTAACATTAACAAAAATTGGTAAGGCCAATTTAGGCCACGAACCAAACCAGCCCTAAATGACCATATCTCATCCGAACACACGGCCCACCGGCGAAGAAAAAAAAACAGCAGGCATCATACTCGCTGGGCTGTGTAGGCTGTAGACCGCTCGCTTTCGTTTGTGAGGTGGGCTCGGAACGGGAGGCCTCTCCTCCCACGTAGGTGGCGAAACGGACCGGACCGCGGCGGCCGCCATCTCGCTTGTTTTTACAGCTCGCGAAGAGGAGAAGGAAAAAGTATACTTTGACTCCCTCAACTATCATCCGAGTATGATTTATAACCTCCAACCACAAAACCGGGTATATCGACTCCTCCAACTATCAAAACCGGTGCAAACAATGTCCTTCACTGATTTTGGAGGTGGTTTTGGTTGACGTGGCGCCCACGTGACAGTCTTGACCGATTCTTTGTCCTATGTGGCGCTTACGTGGCGTTAGAATAAAAACAAAAATAAAAAAAATATGGGACCCATATATCATTCACATAAAAAAAGTGTTGTGGGACCCACTAACATGTGGGACCCACATGTCATCCTCCCTCTCTCCCTCCCTCCCTCCCTTATCTCTCTCTCACTTCAAGAGCGGCGGCGGTGGTGGTGGCCAATGGGGACGAGGCGGAAGGGAGCGACGGGGCGGTGGCGGCGGCGGTGACGGTGGGGAGCGGTGGTGGCAGTGGAGGTGGGTAACGCGCGGTGGAGAACGCGGCTATAGCCCGCGGCCGTCAGGAGGGAGGGAGGGGTACGAGAAGGGAGCCGCCCCCGTGGGGGGTCGGAGTCGCCGACGGCTGGCTAGCGTGGCGGCGGGGGTGGCACGAAGCGGCGGCGGCGGCGGTCGGGACGAGGCGGTGGGGAGCGGCGGCGGCGGTGCCGGTGGTGGTGGCGATGGGGAGCGGTCAGGACGACGGCGGTGGGGAGCGATGGGGCGGTGGTCAGGAGCGGCGGCGATTATGGTGGGGACGAGGCTTGCCGCCTCGAGTAACTCCATCCGCCTGCTCTCCTTGACGCTCGCTGCGCCGCTCATCCACGACGTCATCTCTGGGGCTGCCGCCGCCGGCCGTGCCGACCTCGCCCTCCAGTTTTTCCGCTTCGCCTACCGCCGCACTGGCTTCAGCCCCGACCCCGAGCCGTCCACCTTCGCCCTCGCCACGGCAGAAAAATTCTTGGCTAGGCGCCGAACAATCCAAGAACGCACACCCCACACATTGTCGATGACATCGATCGCGCAAAAGAAAAGGACAAAGAGCGCTCCGGCGGGGAGAGCCAGCATGGAGGCGGGGAAGAGGAACACGGGGCTGCACTGGACCGCCATGAGGATTTCACGAGACGAGACGAGAAGGCCCTGAAGATGTTCTCTCCTCCTGCACGAACGAAACGAACTAACCAAAGCTAACACCAGGTTCGAGTTGGTGAGCTAGCTAAGGTCCTTTATATAGCCCAGCGATGCATATGTGTGGTCTACCGTCCTGGGGAACAGGTTCTGGGCGTATTCCGACCGCCGCTCCCGCCGCCGCCGCTGCCGCTCCCGACCGCCGCCGCCACCGCGCCCTATCGCTGTCCCCGCCGCTGCTCCGGCCAAGAGAAAGGCCGAGGGGAAAGAGAGAGATAAGGGAGAAAGAGGGGAGGAAGAAGGGAAGGAGAGGGACATTGTTTGTACCGGTTTTGATAGTTGGAGGAGTCGATCTACCCGGTTTTGTGGTTGGAGGTTATGAATCATACTCAGACGGTAGTTGAGGGAGTCAAAGTATACTTTTTCCAAGAGGAGAATGAAAGCTGCATGATCATCGGTCATCGCATCGTGAATTCGTGCCGGCGGCAGAGGGGGGCCACCGCGACCGCCTCACGTCCCGCAATATACTACCTCCAAATGTACGACGCCATTGACTTTTTATCCAACGTTTGATCATTCGTCTTATTCAAAAAATTTATGTAACTATCATTTATTTCATTGTGACTTGATTCGTCATCAAATATTCTTTAAGCTGGACATAAATATTTTTATATTTACACAAAATTTTTAAATTAAACGAATGGTCAAACGTTGATAAAAAGTCAACGGCGTCATACATTAAAATAGAGAGAGAGTATCATCATCAAAGCTTAATTGGTCTCTCTCAAAGATTTGGGCTACCACGAGGCAATAACCATTCATCGTTTCTCCTTAATTTAATTTCAACATAGCATGAAACAAACTACTCGGTCTACCTAGTACCGCTGTTATATATTTTTCTACAAGCAAATTGCATGCGAAAACGAAAAGGTCTACGTTTACGTGTAATGGACTAATGGCTAATTATAAGCTGATTAGTCCTGGGGTTGGGCGTACTTTAGACAATCTGATTCCACGCCTTATGTCATTTTTACCATGTCAAAATGCGTGACCTATCAGACACAATATACGTACAGTCGAATCCGGCGCCGTCAGTAAGTCGTCTGTGACAAACATCAACATGCACTCTACTTTATTTGCCAATAGGTGTATTTCACTACATGCACACACACTTTATTTTACTTAGGATATCAAATAAGAAAAAGATTATGAAAAGCAGCAAAAATAAGAACTAAAGTTGTATGCCCAGATTAATTAGAATTTAATGTAGTATGAGATGTGATGCTTTCTAGTAACACGAATCCGGATATAATTTCACATCACATATTACTCCATCTGTCCGAAAATATAAACATTTTTAGATTCGGCATATTTTCCGAGATGCTATTTTGACCAACAATATTTATAAAAGTAAGATGTTTTAAATGAAAAGAGTTGCATATTATAAAAGCTTGTTTAATGATAAATCTAGTAACATTAATTTTATATAATTGATCTTTTTTATTTTGTTTGCTATTAACTGTCAAAGTTAAAACCGTTTGACTTGACACTATTATAAAAATACTTATATTTTGGGATGGAGGGAGTAGATTAACTTAGTTTAGAACAGAGACAATAAGAAACAGCCTGAAATGGGAGACAATTATGGTGTACTGCTAGCAAATACGCTCTGGATATATTAATGGATTCTGGATAATGTCCTAGCGGATAAGAACCCGAAATGACCGTTGGATCCTTAGGGCAAAACCGAAATGAACCCCAACTACCTCTAATCCTCAATGATGCGTTGGCCCCACGCGGATGGGGCCCACATGTCAGTTAGAGGAGCGCCGAGGCATGCACCGCCGTCAGAGAAGACGGCGGGGCCGCCGGTGAGCGGACGGCGTCGTGACGGCGAGCCGTCCGTGTCCGTCACACGCCCATCACGCGGCGCGGGATAAAAAGCACCGACGAGTGGCGTTTTCCTCGCGAGACAAACGCGAAGAGGAGAGAAAAAAAAAGGAAGAAGAAGAAGAAAGAAAAGAAAAGAAAAGAAAGGAAGGTGGAGATATTTCGAGGAGGAGTGCTTCCCAGCTCATTCCGCCGAGGTAAAATCCCCCTCCCTTTCCTCTCCCCCATTTCGGCTTCCGGTCGCGTGGGGGGGTAATCCGAGCCTCGTCGTGATCCCCCGCGAGTCGGGGGGAGCTTCGATTCGGCCCGAATCCCGCTTCTTCGATCTCGCCACGGGATTTCTAGGGCTTTAGCCCCTAGCCCCATCGGTTCTTACCTCCAATCCGTTTTGTTTTTGTATTTTTGTGGGGGGTTTGCGGTTTTTGAGTTTTTTTTTTGACGATTCGAAGGGTTTGTTGGATTGCAGGTCGTGAGAGCTGCTGAGCGTGGAGATTTTTTCTTTAAAACTTTTTTGGGTGATTTGCTGGAATGGGGGATCATGTTGCGGTGGATGTTGGGGGGCTCATGGCGTCCCGGGGCGCCGGCGAGGAGGAAACGGGGGCGCTGATTGGGATGGTGGAATGCCGCATTTGCCAGGAGGAGGACCTCGCCAAGAACCTCGAGAGCCCCTGCGCTTGTAGCGGTAGCCTCAAGGTATGTTGTTTCTTCTATCCAAGCGAGCAGTTCTTGTTCCAATCCATATTAACGATAAAATTATTTTTGCCTCAATTTCATGGGATCGTTGTTGATATATAATGAATTATAGTGTTGCAAAGAATGAGGAGGTCGTGAAACCATATATCCATACCAATGCATGTGTATATGACGATGTGCTATGCACACACGCTATGCTTTGCGCTTTGGGGCTTAAAGCTATGTAGGACAAATAGCTTAGCGGTTGGACTGCATGCTGATTGGAACCTCACATCCCATAAACCAGACATTACTGGAGTATTTGATGTGACTTTTAATCACATCCGTGTATTATTAGTTGTGTTTTGGATACAATCTTTTCTGCTGCTATGGCTACTGATATTATCAGGAAAAGTAGCGCCATAAAGTGATTCCAGTATGAGTAAATAGGTGCATGCTTGTTATCATCATTGTTGCTTAAAGAGTTGGACAACCTTTTTTTCTTGGTGGTAGCTACTTGAGGCAAACTTATGGATGAAGTGATAATGGCTAGATATCTTTTGTGAACTGCCTTCAATTTAAGGCACCCAAGTCACTGTCATGATCTAACTGCTCACCATAATTAACTTTGATAGCATGCTGTGATTGAATCTGTTAAGGATTTTTTTTTTGTTTTACTGTATTTCTTTTGTACGTCATGTCTATATTTCTACTTTTTGATCTACAAGATTTTATTGTGCAGTACGCTCATAGAGAATGTGTGCAAAGATGGTGCAATGAGAAAGGAGACATAATCTGTGAAATCTGCCACGTGGTAAGTAATTCTTGCATGCTTTAGTTCCTTGTGGCATAATTTGTTCCTTCTATTCAACAACAGGGGTGAATATGGGGGCATCCTAATAGTTGGCTCACTCAATCCAATTACATAACAATTCTTTTGGCATGCAAATATTAGTAAGGAAAGCTTTAGTTCGTTCCCCTTGACATATGATACGCAGTATGTATATCCCTTAGTCAAACTTCTTTTTCTCAGTACCTTCTTGTCAGGACTAAAAAAATTAGTCATTTGACCCTTTTCTGTTCTTAAAAAATGTTTAGCAGGTTGAATACATCAAACTTATTTAATTATTTTCAAATTCCAATGCATCATGTTTATCTACATGTTTTTCGGTTGGTCTGTGAAAATGTGACATCCTATGGAAGTATTAGAAAGTACCATAAGTAAATGTGATCATGTATCTGCATAGTAATGTAAGCTAGACTTTTTTTTTAGCTTGGATTAATTTGGAGGATTACTTGATTCCATATGCATTTAATTATTCATGTTTTCTTGCGATTTAACTGTGAGCTTTCTTGCTGTAAATCAGATTATGAGTTTTTCTTCTCTGTTGTTCAGTCATACAAGCCTGGCTATACTGCCCCACCCCAGGTACATCATGATGAGACTACTATAGAGATCAGGTTGGTATCTTCATTCATGAAAAATCTTCTTTCGTATCCTAGTACTTTTGTGAATAAATTTCTGAGTGAATATAAAATAATCCCTAAGCACAATTCTTAACTTCTCGTGTCTCTATCTCGTCCTATTCTCCAGTAGTGGAGATTGGTCTATCTCTGGCAATCGGTTGGATTTACATGATCCTAGAATCTTGGCTATGGCTGCCGCTCAACACCGTTTACTTGAAGATGAGTATGATGAATATACTGCAACAAACAACAATGCTGCTGCCTTTTGCCGCTCCATATTTCTAATTGTAAGTCTTAAAAGGGTTAGCAGTTTATATTCTAGAAACATGCAATATTTTACCTTCTGTTAATGTAAATTCATGATCATTAAGGAGGACAATCTTGTCATGCACTTGAATCCCTTTACTTCTTTCTTTCATTGTTTAATACTGTCATTGCCCACCATGTTAATATTGGATTGGATGATAACTGATGTGTCCTTGCTTTGTCTATCCAGCTAATGGCTCTTCTACTCTTAAGGCATACACTAACCATTACTAGTAGTGATGATGAAGATGACGCATCTGCTATTTTCTCGGTAAGTTAGATTTTTTTTTATGCAGTCATGCTCTGCTATCGGTTCATGTTTTAACTTGGCCACACTTAAATTTGGCAAGCTATGACTCCTTGCAGTTTTAGTGTGTGGTTAACATCTGTTATTATTTAGTTGCTCCTTCATTGTGCATTTCACTAGTTGCTGATCTTTAACAGTTGTTTCTTTTGAGGGCTGCTGGATTTTTGCTGCCATGCTATATCATGGCTTGGGCTATTAGTATCATGCAACGTCAAAGACAAAGACAGGTTGGTGACTGTTCGAAATCCTTTTGTTCTTTTATGTATCCGCAATCCACAGGCAAAAAATATTCCAGATTATCTATAGCTTGCTATTTTGCACTTTTGAACATATGATGGTATAATAAGGGTTAGGCATGTCAAGCAACCAGAGATTCAAATTGTACAAATGTATGTTGGATATATTATGTGAGGTAGTAATTGCCATTGTTCCATTTTCGTCCACACCACACATACACAGTTGGGACCTGGCTATCGGGTTGGAGTTTATCCTAACTGCCTAAACGTGAGTCACTGTGTCAAAAAATCTAGTGTCTTGGTTGGTTTGTTTTTAAGTAGTCTCTTACCCGTCAGTTGTGCTAAGCAGGTTGGATGATGCTGTTTTTTCTCCCTATTTTCATATGAGCAAACAATAAAATTCGTTTGAGTTGTTTTTAAGTAGTCTCTTACCAATCAGTTGTGCTGAGCAGGTTGGATAATGCTGTTTTTTCTCCCAATTTTCTTATGAGCAAACAATACAATTCGTTTGAGCATGTGCATCATTCTTTATCACAGGGTATATCCTTAATTTTCACCTGTTTTATTTATTAACAGTTTACATTATTTACTTTGGTGAATCAGGAAGAAGCAATGCTTCTACCAACTGAAGTGGCAATCATACTCCACCGAAATGGAAGGACTATGCAATTCGCCGTAGCGCCAGAATCTCCTACCACACCTCATCCAGAACAAGGGCAATAGAATTTGCTGGCAACAGGCATATCTTGTGAGTGCATACAAGATACCTTGAGCCTTCTACACCCTGACTCTGTGTACACTGCAAGCCGGTTGCACCAGCCACTTTCAATGGCCAAATTGCAGCAAAAAAGTGTTGCGTGTCTATCTCTCGATTTGCATAAACTTTGCAGCTAGGCTTGAATGCTTTTGTGATTGGCTTTCAGCTTCTTCTGCACATAAAGAGATTCCTTTCAATAAATGAATATAAGCTAAATTAACAAGAAGAATTCTTGTTCCAGGGTCACTAGACTTGTTCATGGCTTCGTGCTGCGACGGGCCAGCTACTGTTCCAACAAATCCGGAGCTTTTTTTTTTTTCGTCTTGGTCTGTTTACCAATTCCTTCTGTTTTGAGAACCACAATTTTCACGTCTGTGGAAGCCTGTAAGCTCTACACACGCAAGCCATGCTTCAATTGCATTGACCCGAAAGCTGAAACATGATGGCTGTGTTTGGAACCCCATGTTCCCAACCTCTCTCTCGTTTTCCGCGTGCACCAACCTCTCTCTCGTTTTCCGCGTGCACCAACCTCTCTCTCGTTTTCCGTGTGCATGTTTTTTAAACTGCTATTTTTTTAAAAAAAATTAGCTAATATTTAATTAATCATACGCTAATGAACCGTTTCGTGCTAATGAACCGTTTGGTTTTCCGTGCGGAGGGAATCCCCTGCATGCGAACACAGCCGAATAGAGTATTTATATCAGAGGTCAATGAAAAGGGTGTGTGTAACGTGTAATGTAAGGGTAAGCCGTTTGGTGCTCGTAAATGATCATCGGTACAATCTATTGGACACGCGAGGCAATACCAGAGAGCGAGAACAATATTTTACTATCTGATGTATCGGTTACTCACTGATGGACAAACATAATCCATGCCTGACAATACAGAATAGCTAATTGATTTTTGAGTTCAGATCATAGATAAATAATTAACAGAAGTGCATCTTTCAAAGAGGTCAAGATGGCCGAGTTGGTCTAAGGCGCCAGTTTCAGGTACTGGTCCGAAAGGGCATGGGTTCGAATCCCATTCTTGACAAATATTTTGTCTTTTTTAATCACCGGCATTTCTCAAATTTTCGATCACCGGCTCAATCATTTTATCTTTTTTAATCCCCCTCATTTCTCCTTTTTATTTGTTTTTTTTCCGTTGTAGCACTCAAATTTGCATTTCTCCTTTTTATTTTTTTCTGACACTTAACAAACACCGTTGTAGCACTCAAATTTTCAATCGCCACAGGCACAAGCACGAAATTGACAATTATTTTATCTTTTTTAATCACCTGCATTTCTCTTTTTTATTTGTTTTTTTCTTACACTTAACAAACACCGTTGTAGCACTAAAATTTTCATACAACACAAGGCATAAGCACGAAATTCTTATTACAACTAGTCCAAACAAGATCACACATTGCATCGGACAGGATATTGAGAAGAACAGTTATTGATCAATGATCAAAGAGAGAGGCCGCATGAGTTCAGGATTACCCAAGAGGTCTGAAGGATTGAAGTCTCTCGTTTAATTCAACAACCAGAAGCTCGATGAGAGTAGGTACAGAAAAGCAACTACTAGTACCAATTACTTTGATGATTGCCTGTCCTTCATTCACCTTTTGAATCTTAAGAATCTGCTTCACAATCTTCTGCTCTTCCACAAAGAGAACTCAGAATGATCCTGCACCACACAACTCTAAGATGCAAAACAATATGTTTCACAGTTTCTCTAAAAGAAAGTACATGAACACAAAATTCTTGGACCCACAGAAGGAAGCCCCAAGAGTTGAAACTGAATCTTCATGAACCAGAAGATCATTCCCCTGCAGTTTTCTCATTCTTTTCATTGATGCAAAACTCTTCTTTTATTTGATTTACATCGCGATGTATACATATTGCCTCAAAACCTTTTTCCTCCTCAAGCTACAGCCTTGCACACACTTCCCTTGACTGTACAAGTATTTCCTATAAGAAATCTCTCCCTTTTGAGTTCTGAACATTTTCAGAGAACAAGTGAACCCAAAAACACCCCAAAAAGACAACACTTGATTTCTGAAGATCATCCAACCTAGCATTTGTTGTGAATCGGGTCAGATCCTCTCCGGACACGCCGCTTGCTCATCCTGTCGGGATCAAACACCGTCGATGGGGAAGAAGAACCCGTCGCCGCGGTGTTCTTCTCCGTCGACGTATCAAATCTTGCAGCTGCAGCAGCAGCAGCAGCAGTGACAGCAACAGCAGCATTGCCCTCTGCAAGCTTTCGCGGTTGCTCAGCCGACGAGGCATTTGCACTGCTTGTCTGTGCAAGAACACCCAGGCTTCGGACGGCAAGAACCTCCGGTGTGGAGGCAAGAAGAACAAGAACGACGAGAATGGCGAGCTGATGGCAGTGAGCACCCATTCTCAATCGCAATCAACCTCTCCTCTAGCTTGTGATCTAGCGACTGGAAAGAAAGTTAGCAGTTCTGTGCCTATCTGAACTTGAGACAGAAATGTGCAGGGGTGGAAGCTAAGGAAACTGTGAGCTGTTTGTGTCTGTAGATATAGGGCCTCTTGGATTTGCATCCATGATAGTGAAGAGTGAGATCTTGGTCCAAAAAGAGTAAAGCTCAAAGCGGATCGGCCTCAAGAGATCGCTTTATACCAACATGGCCATTGTGGCAAGCAAGCAACAAGGAATTATTCTCCAAAGTGAAAGAAACTGCACTATGCAAAATCGAAGGCTGTTTAGGTAGATTCTGCAGGAGTTGTTTTTCAAAGAAAAGGTACTCCCTCCATTTGAAAATATTTTACATAACGGAAATGGATTACATTTCCAGCTTCTTCTGTCATTAGACACAGCCATACTACACGATCTAGCGATACTACATGCATGCCATGAAACACATATATTTTTAGTTTAGTTATTAGTAAAAAAATTAATTATTGACTCTGCGGAAAACAAGGACGCCTCATATTTTCAAATCGAGGTAGTATCATTACAGCCCTTGTGAAGCCCAAGTTTATATTTGAAACAAAACTATGATACTCGTATTAATACTTTATGCTCCATCGCAGGGATACATCATCTTTGCATGAACTTTGGAAGCTTCTCTCTGAAGCAAGGCAACACGCTTCTCCATGCAAAACAGCACAGGGAAACACATCTCGTTGTGCTTTCTTTTTTACTGGTAGTAGTAGTTTCTTGTGCTGTAGCTATTGCTTTATTTCCCTTTTGTTCTTTCATCATTCCTGGCTTGTTCTGTACCGCCTCTCCTTTTGCTGTGGATTTAGTGGGGTCCCAAAGCAAGCAGCACCGTTCAAAGATCCAAAGGAGCAGCCACAATCGAAGGAAGGATCCATCTGATATTAAATCTAAGCAACATTCCATTCTTGTTCTTTCACTTTGTTCAGGACTTGGGGTAGATAATCCCTTCATTTGTTTAGCTTAAAGCATAAGCTTAAATAATGCAAGGTGGTATTATATATTATCTTGGTAAGTGATTAGTAAGATAAAATAAGGGACTTTTGACAACATTAAAAAAAGATAGATAGTTAACATGTTCAATGGTGTTACACGCTTGGAATTGGTAGCCACGGAACTTTTATTCTAGTTTGGATGACATGGTACCTATAGAATTTTGTGATAGAATTTATGTGATTTTGGAAATATTATTTTAGTAGATCATCTTATTGATAGAAGTTGGGGGTTTGTCCCATTATGCCTTTTTTTTTTTAAGTTTTTCTATGTTCACTTCTAACTTCTAAGACTTTTTGACTGTGTCCATAGATAGACTGGAGATAATCCATTTCCATTATCTAAAAAAGTTACTGCACTTTACCGTTTACCGATAGTTCTGTCATCTCATACGAAAATTGTGAGGTGGATTTTCGTATAGGACATACGAAAATTGTGAGGGTACTACTTTTATCACATAACACCGATCAATAAACATATCATAGTGTGGATTAATTGTTCACTAATTAATTACTTAATTCACATTGCTATCACTAATCCATCAAACTTAACCAATGCAATCGAGAGAGCAAACGCAGTCGTCTTAAGGATAGAGAAAACCATTCTGATAGAGACGAGTTCAGGTCATGTTTGGAAGGAATATTGTGAATTTCGTATAGGACATAAGAAAACCATTCCTTTCTCTCTCGAAACACAGCAGCCACACAACCGATTCGGACTCGGTCTCGCTGCTGCTTGCCTTGCTTCCTTGCCGCATGGCTCAGCCACCACCTCGGCCGACTCGGTCTCCATCCAAATATCCAATCCAACCGAGCCGCTACATACTGTGTTGCACAGAACGCGCACACACATGCATGTATCGAGTACTGTAGCAACCATATACTCTCTAATTTTTCTACAAGTTTCCTTCGCGAACCTCGATATCACAATCAGACAAAACAACCATTTCTAAACATAGATATCACAACCTGACCCATATTAATCACACACACTCACACCAAAATCTACATATATTCTTGAATCAATTCATTGATTAAATCATTCACACAACCAATTGATCATCACAAAATATTAATCATGACAACGATTTCACACAACCACAAAATGTTATAAGGATCAACAATATGCCCAAAGAATATATATCAACCATGGATCAGTAGAATATAGCACTGTTTTTTTATATAATCTTATAAAATGAACATTTATCTTCACATGGCATCCTTCTACAATTTCGTAATTCCTTAAAATGCCTACCTAATATCATTGGTGCAAATTCAACAGAAATTCCTATCAAAATTAGTCGTTGTAACATTATAGTTAGAAAATACTAATATTAAAGAACAGTAGTGTTTATTCAAAACTATTTCGATTTACTTCACGGAAATCTCATATATACATGTTCATAGATTTATCTTAAAAGTAACATTACAATATTTCGGATAAAAAATATTATTATAATATTGCAATGTGAGATGTAGACATTTGCAAGCTATACAGATTGGGTTAATGTTTAACATTTAAAAACGTACTTTGTTGAACTACTAGAGTGATATGCTCCCAGGTGATCAGTGGTAGATGGCATGTTTAGTTAATAGCATGGTCAACCTGTCAATAGAATAGTAACATCATTAAAAATAACTGGCAATATCTTGTGAGACTGGTGGATTGAAAAACAAAAAGTAGTTGGCAATCTCAATTAATTGCAAACTAAGGGGGCAGAGCAAATACGTATACAACCACGTACATTACGTGCATGGCTAAGATGCAAGACGTTATATAGGTTGAGAATAAAAATCCTATATTTCCATACTCTTTGTTATGCAAATGTTACATCAGAAGTTTTCACTAATCGGGATAAACAGCATTAGAAGTACAAGTACCATTTGAAATTCGTAAACTGACCCAAGTAGGGATGGCAATGGGGCGGGTCTGGGGCGGGTTGGGCTGGAACGGCCCTGCCCCCAACCCTCGACTTCTCCACCCAGCCCCGGCCCCGGGTGTAGTTGCGGGGCCAAATCAACCCCCACCCCTGGCCCCTTCGGGGCCCCGCTGTCGGAGGCGGCAAAGGCAGAGTCTCGCGGCGCCGCTAGCTCGCCGGCTCACCGCGCTTGCGCTCCGCTGCCCTGCTCACCGCCGCGTGGAGAAAGAAGGGAGAGGGGCGCGTGGCAGGAGGCTTGCGTGCGCCACCCGGTCGCCGGCTCGCCGCGCCCGCACGCTGCCCGTCGCGCTGACGGTCCGCCGCTCGTGCGCTGCTTGCCATGCTGCCCGTCCGCCACCGTGTGAAGACAGGAGGGATTGGGAGAGAGGCGAGAGGGAGATTGGAGGGCCGGAGGGACGGAGGGTAGAGCGCGAGATGGAGAGGCGCACTGGCGTGCTGGCCACGGTGGCTAAGGAGTGAGGAGGGTGAGTCTGAACTTGGGGGAGTGGGGGTGGGGTGTATTAGGGTTAGGGTTTTCACCAAGTTGAGTTGGGCTTAATGGGCTATATTTAGAGTTGGCACTATATTTAGAAGTCTAATATACCTCCTCTGGCCCAATTGCGGCCCTGGCCCTCACTCCCGCCAGGGTGGAAACTACACCCGACCCCGACCCTACGGGGGAAATTGCCATCCCTGGACCCAAGAGTCCAAGTTATCAGCAAAGTCAGCGCTCGGCAACCTTGTGTGGCCGCCCAAGCTCGACACGTTAGAGGTATTCAGCAACCTACAAAGAGTCCAAGTTAAAAATCTAGCTGAAATACATATGAGTTCAACTGACCCAAGCCTACAAAACATAGGCAAATCTAGGGATGGTCCTGGGAAAAAAAATCCTAGCCCGATTCATATATATACATATGTGAAAAGAAGCTTTTGAAAACAAAAAAGCTTGTTTTTAATATATTATGATGCACATTTGATCCGTTCATACTTTTAACTTGAAGATAAGAGATAAGCATAAGCATACCCAATCTGAAGCCACAGAGATCAACAAGATGGATCTATCGCCATATCTGATCTCGCCGCGTTCATATTCGAGGAAGAAGACTACCCTGTCGTTGACTATGTGGGGTGTTCCATGCCTCCAAGTCGATGATAACTAGACAGATTATCCTAAATATTGTATTTGTGTGATTCTGATGAATAAGAACAACACCGGCTTCGGCTAATAGGAGCAGGGCTATTACAAATAAAGGGCCTGAACCAGCATAAAAATCTTTGTCTCCGTATCGATTACCTCAATCTCGCGTAGACCCTGGCACCAACAATCCTTATATACTCTACAAATATTGTAGCCATGATCTACTTCGTCGACAACGCCTTTTACCATAATAAAGGACTAGAGTTTTCTCTCCGTTGGTGCACTTGAGGAGTTGAGGAATTTAGTCCACTCACTGTCATCCCGCCAATCTGGCATCCGCTTAAGCGTTGGGCCAAGCGGACATTCGACGTCCAGATTAAGCCCCACATGTGAGATCAACTGATCCATCCGTCCATGTGAGGTAGGACATGCGTGTCATTTTTAAAGTAAGAGAAAAGGCTATCTTGTGCAATTTGGCTAATGTGGCATGTGAGATTCTTAGCAAGCTTGTAGGGTTCAATATATACTTGGAAGTTGGGACACACTCCCTTAAACTACACACATAACAACATCGAAATCTTTTATCCTTTCAACTATTAAAAAAAGTACTTATGTACTCCACACAGTTTAAATAAAACAACATGATATCAATATAGCAATTTTTTTGCCTGCCTTAATACAACGAAATGATAATAGTGAAAACAATATAGGGCCTCACCGGTTGCCCAAAAACTTATTATAAGCCGTAGCAGCTTATTAGAAAAAAATATAATTTGTGTGTAAAACTAAAATTTATGTGTTTCCAGTGACTTAAAAGTCAATGCTGAAAAAAATACGTTAAAAATATTTTCAAATCAACTTTAAAATTAAAATTTTAAATTTAACTTTGGCTCAATCTTTTTGGGGACATCCGAGGCTAATTGTAATTTGCAATATCTGAATCATCCGGCCCAAATCTAGTACACACAACACAACACACAACGAGCGGCAGCAGCGTTGGGACGGCCGGCCGATTGTTAGGGTTAGGGTTTTAGAAAAACCCCCCGCGCGTGGACAGGCCCACGGGGGGATCATCCGACGGCCCACCCCACCTCCAAATCGGCTCAAACCCTGCGCCGGCGCGAATCTCAGCGCCGCCCGCTATATAAGCCCCCCGCTTCTCCCCCCCCTCTCCGCTCTCCTCCAGCTCCGCCTCCGACGCGCGCACGCCTCTCCCTCCCCTCCTCCTCCGCCTCGCCTCGCAGTGTGGAAGAAAGGAAGGAAGGCTAAAACCCTAGCGAGCGCGCGAGCGAGCGAGGGCTCTCTGCTTCCTTGCGATGACGGCGCCGGCGGACAAGGGGAAGAAGGCCAAGACCGACGCCGACGGCGGCGCCGCCGAGGAGAACGAGCAGATCGACGGCGCCCTCGTCCTCTCCATCGAGAAGCTCCAGGAGATCCAGGACGAGCTCGAGAAGGTGAGCCACCGCCCCCTCCTTCGCGTTTAGGAGCTAATCTTTTTTTTTTTTTGGGTGACATGGATGTGTCCTGTGGATTAGGCTGCGGGCGGGATGCGAGGGGGGGGGGGGGGGTTGGGAACCTGGGGCCGTGTCGAATTCGGGTGGAATTTAGCCTTTGGGGGTCTGTGATTGTGGTTGGGTGGAATTCTTCGCTCTCGCTACCGACCGTGTTGCGGAGGGTGCGGAACATTGGGGTATTAGGGCTGACAGAAAAAGGTTTGGGTGTTTGGCGAAAGGCGAATTCTGCTAGGAAGTTACAGGGATTGGGGTCGAAATTTAAGTGGTAGCATTAGAACACGATTGTGTGTTAATAGTGTTATTTTAGAGATATGCATGAAAGCTCTGCACGCAATCAATTTTACTAAGTAATGTAGAGTATCATGAGAACTTTGCATTGGTAAGTACACTGTGCTGTAGTATACTTGTAGAAGGTGTTATCATCAATACATGGGAGCAAATATTTCTAGATGGTCTCATACCGAATAAGATAGTGTGGTGCTATCATCAATACATGGGAGCAAATATTTTTAGATGGTCTCATACCGGATAAGATAGTGTTTTATATGTTGGTAACATGCTCCTAAGAGACAATATGCATATATATTTTTTTTTGTCGAATAGCGCCCGTCTTGTTTGACATCATAAAAACCCAACTTTTGGTTCCTTGTCCTACTTGTCGATTGCCATACCCTCGGATAGCACCGAGCTTGTTGATTAGTTCACAATCTGAATTGTTGGACAGCTCAATAGTATCAAGTTTGTAGTCATGTAGCTCACTACAGCTTCACCATTGAATCAGAATTATTTTGAATCCTGAGGGGTTTTATAGTTAGCACTGTATAATGTCCCAAACTGACCTTTTTTTTTTTTTGGTTACCGCCACCTAATATGGAGCTTCCGTGTATTTGTGTCTATTTGCCGTATCCTTTTCTCCTTTGTATTGTTGTCTAAGTTTAGTGACTGTCCATTCATTCTTGTGGCGTGTTGGCTGTCTAGAATATAGGAAGAGAAGATAGCGCGGTATGCTTATGTTAGTTTTATGTATTGTTTACAGGTCAATGAGGAAGCTAGTGACAAGGTTTTGGAGGTCGAGCAGAAATACAGTGAGATTCGCAGACCTGTCTATCTCCGAAGGAGTGACGTTATCCAAACAATCCCCGACTTCTGGCTGACAGCGGTTTGTGAACACCTCATTCCATAATAACGGGCCCCCCTGTTTTTTTGAAACCTAACATTCTTATAATCTTACCTATTTTTGTTATGTGCTGATTACAGTTTCTGAGTCATCCTCTACTTAGTGAGCTTTTGACCGAAGAGGATCAAAAGGTACCTTTGTTCTTTGTTGTTAATAAAATTAACTTTAGTATACTTGTACGTTTGTATGACCACAGAATGCAATTGGACAATACTTGCACATTTTTTAGATGCATTTAACTTATAAGTTTTTCTTTTGCCTTAATCGCAGATGTTCAAGTACCTGGAGTCTGTCGACGTGGATGATTCTAAAGATGTCAAGTCAGGCTACTCCATAACTCTTGTAAGTATCATTGCACACATGTATAGTTTTATGTTTCATGTTTTAGTTGTGCTTATGAACGTAATATGAACTGGCAGACCTTCTCCGAGAACCCGTACTTTGAAGACAAAGAGCTCACGAAGACATATGCCTTCGCTGATGACGGAACAACCACAATAAATGCTACTAGCATTAAGTGGAAAGAAGGAATGGTATTGTGCTCTTTTAAAAGCTGCTTCTAAGTGCTTGTATAGAAATGGCAAATCTAATATCTTTAATAATAATATACAGGAAATTGCAAATGGGAATGCCAAGAAGAAAGGGAGCAAGCGACCATTGGTTGAGGAAAGGTGAGTTTCTTCTGCCCATCTCTTGCCTCCAGCAGTATCATGTCTAATTGTTCCTCCAGTAATTCAAAACAATTTCTTGTCTTCACTTTACTTATTTCCAACTACATGCTGATGTTGAAGTATTTGATGCTTGTTTCCTATTTTGTAGTTAGTAGCTCTGCCATTATTCTGTTGGGTGGTTGTTTCAGGGTTAAAATAACTGTAAACGATTAGTGCTTTTACTTCCATATAGCTATTACTATATAAACAATTAAACACACAGTTATATTGTGTGCATCCTCTAGTAATTTGTGAAAAGATAAAGGGACTCTTTGAGCAGCGTTCTCTGCTACTGAACTCTTTCGCATTTGCTCAAGATTTGCACCAACCTTTCCATAGGTGTCATATCACTTAAGCGGGTGTTGATGCTTCAATTATACATGGTTACAAAATTGGGTTGGCATGATAACTATTAGAAGACTCTGCACTTCTGGATTTTGTATTCTGTTCTTCAAACTGTTTATTACTGCATGCTTATATTTATCTTTTAGTTAGTACAATTTTTCTTGTTGATTCACACTTAGTGCCCTGTTTCTGCGATTCTGTTATGATCCAAAATAATGTCGTGTAGATTACTTGTCACAGCATCACTATTGCTATAGGGATCAGAATTTAGTTTCTCTTTACATATTTCCTCTTAAGTTAATTGCTGTTCTTTGGATTTCCTTTAATTATTAGTTTTTATCCTTTGGGATCTACCGCTTCTATATATGGAGGCCATTGTTACCATTATTGTTAAGAAAGATCAATCTAGCTGCCCGCCTGACCATCTTCCTGGCTGTGTTTTCACCCTATTATCTAGGTTGATAACAATTCACTTGAAACATTGCTTATTCCTAGTACGAGCAAACTTCATTGTGGGCAATGATACCTTTCAAGTTATCACATTATTATTCATTCAGCTTTGTTAATGATGGATTGCAGAGACTATGTTCTCGACAAGTACTTTCTGATATTCTTATTTTTCCTATGTAATATATGACTTTTTTGGCATTAATTTTAAATCTTGTCCTGTGGTCATGGGTGGTGCCCTGCCAAAACAACGTTTTCTGTTGGACTCCTTGTTGCATGCTTGATGTATTTTTTTATATATACAAAATCGTAAATCAGAAAAAATATGTGAAAATCTTCTGTTCTGCCTTTCTTGCAGTTTCTTCACCTGGTTTACTGATACAGAGCACAAGAGTCTTGCTGATGGTGTGCAAGATGAGGTAACCAATTTGTGTCTAACCTGTCCTTCTGTTAAGAAAAAGCTTTCTTGATGTTCTTTTATTCCTCGAGCATGTTTTCTTAGCTTTTAATCTTGCAGGTGGCTGAGATCATCAAGGAAGACCTGTGGCCCAATCCATTGAAGTATTTCAATAATGTTGGTGACTATTTTTTATGAATCATTTTATTTCATATCCTGTGTTTGGGGCTTTGGACCTTATAGATCTGTCATTGCAGGAGGCTGAAGAGTTAGGAGAGGATGACGACGAAGAGGTAATAATTTCTTAATGCAACATGATGGTGTTCTTATGATTCTAGGAAAGAGAGAATCATATGCTTGGCTTAATTTGGGTACACATGTTGTAGCACTACATTTCCATGCAAAAATCTAAATACTGGCTACTAGAGTAGCAATTAACTAGTCACATGCAAGACCATTTTGTACTTTGAATTGAAAGCAGGAATGCAAGTGCTTTTTTTTTTTGTTCTTTTTATCTGCTTCACCTTCGATGTTGACTTATTTCTACCTTTTTACCTGGTTGTTTGCAGGGGTCTGATGCTGATGAGGGTGAAGAGGATGAGGAGGAGGAGAACTGAGTCTAGGATGTCAGATTGCGATGGTGCCGATCGTCTGCATTTTGTGGATGCTGTCACTCTGAAGGGCGAAGTTGCGTGACCCTCGGTTGCTTCTTTCTTTTTTCTTTTTGATGACTTAGCTGGAACCCTTAGGAACTGTTTAATGCCTTATGGAGTCCGTCGTATTTTCGACTCAAAGGAGACACCTCTATATCATAATCTGCGTATAACCATGGAAGACATTTTAACCTGCTGATGTGTGGTTCATTGCGCTGCCTCTGGTGCTGTAGGGTGTTCGTTCCTTTGTGCTCTCTGTCTTTTTTTTTTTTTTTTGTGTGTGTGTGGTCGCGCTGGCATTGTTGCCAGTCTGATGGGCTGTTATTTCTCCCCCTAGAAAGAGTGAAAAACCTGGCTTGTGATCATTGTTTACGAAACCGTGCGGGTATCTCATGGTTATCTCGGTTATTACATACTGTAATTTTCTCAATTTTTGAAACCATGATATATCTCGCGATAACCGCGTGGTTTTCGTGGTAACCGTCAAACCACACGGTGGTAACCACCCCAAACAGTTTGGTAAAACCTGACTTGTGATTGACTTCCTGCATGTGAACTGATGAACCTTTGTAGGGTTCAGAGTTGGGATTTTCAGTCGCCGATCGTAGTAGGGTTGGTGAATGTTCCATCCAAAGGTGGAGGTCCCGATCGCTTATCTTCCGGCACTGTAGCATAGCTTTAACTCATCACTCTTGTGTCACTCTCATACAGATCACTCATCCCGCTTTTGCCAATGCCATACAGGGAAGGTAACGTGCCTATTTTTTTATTTATTTTTACACTGGAGAGACGTTAATGGGGGCATGTAATTTGGTACTACTACCATACGTAGAAAATAGGACGAGGATGATCCGCTGGAGAGCCTGGATGGTGATGAAGGCCTAACGTTCCAGTAATAAATGCTATTGTGTGCTAACCTACTCTTTAGCTCCAAGCCTCCAACCGATAGTTTTGGCACGATATTTGTGGTTTCTAAAGTTAACTAATACTACAATGTAAGTAATTTTTTTTAGATAAAAAGATATTGTCAAACTAATTTTGGAAAGCATGAAGCACAAAATTAGAATGTGAGCTTAAAAAGGTACTCCTATAATGAGAAATATAGATGGTAAACCTGCCACTCAATAGCAAATACAACAAAAAAAAAGTGGAGAAATATCCAGTTTTACATCTTCACCGTAATATGCGCAAATCTCGCTTGCTAGTTGATATGAATACGTATGTGAAAAACCTCACTCGTGTAAATACGTCTATACCAACATGAATACATCCGTACAGATATCATATAATCAATACTACTTGATATGAACAAATCCGTATATATATATATATATATATATATATATATATATATATATATATATATATATGTACACCACCAATTAATACCAGTACATCTAATAGCCGAGTAGTAAATGCCACATTCAACCCCATCCAAAAATTCACCCCATGCTTACCTGGCAGCAAAATAAAGGGATAGGATCAAGCCAAACTTCAAGCCACAATTCCCCAAACCGATAAAACCATCTCCCACTGTCATACGAATTGATTAAAAAAAAAAAACCATCTCCCGCTGTCTTACGAACAGATTAAAAACAAAAAAAAAACATCTCCCGCTGTCATACGAACAGATTAAAAACAAAAAAGGATTAAAAAAAACATCTCCCGCTGTCATACGAACAGATTAAAAACAAAAAAGGATTAAAAAAAACATCCCTGTGCCTCTGCCGGTGGGCCAGCCACACGCCTTCAACCTCTGAACCACCACCATCACCCCTCCTCGCCCTCTTTAAAACCCCACAACTTTCCCTCTCCAAAATCTTCATCTCCTCCTCCTCTGCAAATCCGCGCGCGTGCTCGTCTTCTTCCTCTTCCTTCTCTCGCTCTCTCTCTCCCTCCTCGAGGCCGCGACGCGTACGACGGCAATGGAGGAAGGCCGCCGTGGCGACCGCGAGGGGAAGAGCGCGGCCGGGTGGACCGCCCTGTCGACGACGAAGACGACGCTGGAGGAGAAGCGGCGGCTGCAGGCCAACGGGAGCGTCGGCGGCGACGCCGGGACGAGTGGCTTCCGGAGGATCGTGCGGCTGTTCTTCGCCTGCATGGTGGCCGGCGGCATCCAGTACGGCTGGGCGCTGCAGCTGTCCCTCCTCTCGCCCTACTCTCAGGTTAGCTACTCTCCCACATGCCTCTCTCTCTTCCTCTTCGTTTACCTTGGCTTTGCTCTCCATTGGAGCGTCCATGTTTTGTAACATTTAGCTCGTGTTCTTGGCGGTTAATAATTTCTTGGTGCTGTGTTCCTATCTTGTTTTTGCTTATTATTAATCTTTGTTTGACTGCAGACTCTCGGGATTTCCCACTCGTACGTTTCCCTGACATGGATCTGCGGACCAATCGCTGGATTTGTGGTGCGTGATTTCCACACGAGTTCATCATGCAAAAACAAAACAAAAGAAAAACAAATCCTGTTTTTAAGGGAATTGTCATAAAAGGGTCAAACGAAGAACCGTTTCATATCGAGTATATATGTTATTTCTTCAATATCCAAATCTACAATAAATGCATGGGATTCACTGCGTATTTTTTTCCACTCCAAGTCATAAAATAAATGCAAAATTTGATGAAAAATAGGTAAGTAGTATATGAGATAAATGTGCTCATTTATTTCTACCGTCAGGTGCAACCCATCGTCGGTTACTACAGTGACAGATGCACCATGAAGATGGGCCGCAGGAGGCCTTTCATCCTTGTTGGCTGCCTCATCATCTGCATCTCCGTAAGCTCATACCAAACACAACGAACTCACTTCATGCTATTGTTTTTCTCTTCCATCTAGATCTTACCTATATGATTATATCAGACAAAGATATCATGTTTCATCATGGTTTTTTTTTTCTCTTTGTTGATTGATCAGGTCATGATCATCGGTTTCTCGGCGGACATTGGACGTCACCTCGGTGACACCAAAGAGCACTGCAGGTCTGATCTTATCTCCCTTGTGTAGCGATGTTTGTATTTGAGCATGTTTATTTGTGATACGAAATGTTCCATGTTTTGTTGCACACAGCACGTACACGGGTCCTCGCTGGTCGGCCGCCATGGTGTACATTGTTGGCTTCTGGTTCCTTGACTTCGCTAACAACACTGTCCAGGTAGTAGCATACAATATCTATCATCCATCACGCACTCAGATTGATCAATGTTTCTGAAATTTTAAGCAAACACGAATGCGCACGAACTTCTGAATTCTGATCATAATTTTGCTGATTCTCAGGGGCCGGCTCGTGCCATGATGGCTGATCTGTCAGGTGAGCTATTTATCCATCCATGTACCATGTTACGGTCTTGCGATATTCATCAAACTTGTAATGGTACAACTAATTTGATCCATTGATCGATTGTATGATTGCTTAATTTGCAGCTGGACACCATGGCCCCAACGTCGGCCAGTCGATCTTCTCCCTGTGGATGGCTATCGGCAGCGTCCTCGGCTACTTGTCCGGCGCCAACGGGAAATGGCACGAGTGAGTCATCTACAAAAATCATCTTTCATTTTTTGTCCTCTTTACTTCTCAAGCATTTGTGCCGTGTTGGCTAACTATGGTGTTCGTTCGATCGCGCCATTCGTCAGATGGTTCCCATGGCTGAAAACCGCGGCGTGCTGCGACGCCTGCGCGAACCTCAAGGGCGCCTTCTTCACCGCCGTGGTGAGCACTAAACTACTACTCCGTACTCCCTCCATCCCATAAAAACCAACTACTGAATGTGACAGTTTCGTAGTCCGATTTATTTTTTGTGGGATGGGGAAGTATACGATATATTTTGTGATACTGAATTGTTCTATGGTTGGTTTAATGATGCTTAACGTTGCTTTCTTTTGCTTAATCACTAGCTACTCATCGTCGTCAGCATGACGGTGACGATGTACCTCGCCGACGAGATGCCGCTGGACAAGCAGGACGTCGACACCTCCGGCGGCGGCGGGTGCGCCGTGTTCGTCGACCTCTTCAAGAGCCTCAGGAACCTGCCCCCCGCCATGTTCAAAGTGCTCGCCGTCACGGCCGTCACCTGGGTACGTACCGTACCGTTGCACAAATATCGTGCCTCCGTGTCGTCATCAAGTTAATTTAGATCTCTCCTATATACGTCGTTCTTCCGCGTTTGGTTACCGATGCACTCGCTCACCGATTCGATCATACGAAAAAGTCGCTGATCTGCACGTAAAATTTTCTCTTTTTTTTTTTTTTTTTTTTTGCAGCTGTCGTGGTTCCCCTTCATCCAGTACAACACCGACTGGATGGGACGGGAGATCTACCACGGCGAGCCGCAGGGCACGGCGGCCAAGGCCGACGTGTACGACGCCGGCGTCAGGGAGGGCGCCATGGGCCTGCTCTTCTGCTCCGTCGCGCTCGGCGTCACCTCCTTCGTGATCCCCAAGCTCTGCCGCAGGCTGACGTCCAAGGTGGTCTGGTCCATCAGCAACTTCCTCGTGTTCGCGCTCATGGCGGTGATGGTCGCCGTCGGCATGGTGTCCATGAGAGGGTACCGGCCGTCGCTCGCCGCCGGACTCACCGGGCCGGACCCGACGCTCAAGGCCGTCGCGCTCGTCGTCTTCGCGCTCATCGGCATCCCCCAGGCCGTATGTGTTGTGTTTTTCATGTCCATTTCTTTCTCTGAATTTTAGTTGCTCCTTGTGGTTGCTTGCATTGCTTATTACTGTTTGCTGCAATGATCTTTGCAGGTGTTGTTCAGTGTTCCATGGGCCGTCGCTTCTGAGGTTACTGCTGAGGAGGGTGGCGGCCAAGGTATATCTCTTCATCTAATTCCTTTGAAATTTTTTACACTTTTGCCTCCATATTTGCTGGAGTGATAAAATCCTGGTTTCTTGGATTGATTGCTCAGGTCTTGCCATTGGTGTCCTCAACATTGCCATTGTTGTCCCACAGGTAAGATTAAGAGCTGTGTCATCATCTAGAAATTTGTTTTTCAAATATGACTTTTTTTTCTTTCAGGCACTAATTCTCATTTCGTTGTTGCTCTTGTCATCAGCTGGTGATCGCGCTCACCGCCGGCCCGATCGACGGCGCCTTCAACAAGGGGAACACGCCGGCGTTCGGCATCGGCGGCGCCTTCGCCTTCATCTGTGGAGTCCTTGCGCTCATCTGGCTACCAAAGACAAGGGGTGTGTCCAACGCCGCCGTCGTCGCCGGCGGTCACTAGTGCGAAACTCCATCAAAGGCACCACCCGGCCGGCCTATCGCCGATCGATGTGCCATGAATTGGGAGTGCATGAGACTCTGAAAATTTTCGCTACAAACTCAATGTTGATTCGTTCGCTGTGTTGTCCTTAGTTTTTTTTTTCCCTACTCGTTCATGTCCATGTGAGAGTGTTAAGCCGTAGAGGACAAACAGGAATTTTCCTGGCTGCCTTGTTTATTGGCAGATCTCAGGAAACCCAAATATTTTAAGATGAAGAATTGTTCTCTCTGCTTTAGAGTGGTAGCAGCTTCTGAACAACGAGAAAAAAAAAAGAAGACATTTGCATGACAGTTTGTTACTTTGTCTGGTCCACTGATTTGGATATTATTATTGACATCTTATAATAATTTCCTCTACTAATAGGATATACTATATAGCAGAGCAATAAGTAGTTTCAACTTTCAACTGAAACAAACAGTTATGATCTTTAGTGAATTTAGGTAAGTTTTATCCATGTTGGAATTTGAGTGTTTGGCCATGCTAGCCATCTGCATCTACACATGGATATGCCAACTAATGGTCGGCAGTGCATTGGTAATTCAGGCCCATCAGGCTCACATGTGAATCTTTATCTGTGCAACTGACGAACTTCTAAAACCACACGTTTAATTTTTAGCCTTACTACATTCAGAACAACGGGCAGGTCGAAATCAAAAGTAGAAGCCCCTTCTGACATTGATCACGTGATGGCACCCGTCTATCTTGCAAGGCTTTGCATGCTTCATATATTGATTCACTGTAAATTTTACTGTCCTTTGAGGGACCTGGAGATACCATTTTTTAGTATAAATTTTGGGAAGCTCTAAATTCATATTTCAAATGATTTTAAATGGATGCTAGACGGAAGAGATCGGCTACTTGGATACATATTAAGTCTTCCTTTAGCTAGAACAGTCAACATTCGTTTTGCTAGAGCTTTTATCAGGTTCATTATGGTAGGACCTGCCCTGGTTCAACACAATATGGATGCTCGTGTATATAGCTAATTATTATTTTAGTGATATACACGCAATTTAAAGAATTCATTGATAACAAGATGACTATGATAAACTTCGTTAATTTCAAGATATACTTGCCCAGTTTTTCAAAGGCTCTTGTAGGGGTATGTGTATATGCATTTATAGGGAACGTTTATGTTTATACCGTGTTTTTTTTTAAAAAAAGCACTTTCTGAAAATTGGCTTGAAGAAGGTAGTATAGATTTTGTTATTCATGCATGCGTAATACACATATGGACTTGGAAGGGGCAACAATTGGGGATATTTTTTTTTGAAAGGAAGACGGCAAGAGAATTGCCGGCTATATTAGAAGGAAAGAGTAGAGTCTTACAACAGAGTTACAGATGGTAAAGAAAAGTACAACAAACAGCTAGAATAATACAAGAAAAGAGAATTAGGGCGGTTTAAATGCAAATTCTCTGCCCAAACAATTGGGGATATATCACAACTATTAACTCCCTGATAAAATGCTTGATCTATCCTGCTGCAAAATTTACCCTTTTTAATTATGTGCCATCCTGGTTTACTTCATTCTTAGCACACTTTAATACGTTCTGTTTCATTGACAAATGAGTAACCTCCGATTTTGGTTAGTTGACATATTTGAAATCTCTGCTTTGATATGAAAACGTACGGGGGCCTATATAAAGTTGTATACCATGAGCGTGATCGATCGACAGTTCATCAACACCTACAAAAGCAAAGCAAGCAGAAAAGTCATGGCGCCGATGACTTCCAAGATCGCTGGTGCCCTCACGTTGGTGCTGCTCCTGGTGCTCACCGCCGTGACGGAAGGCCAAGTCCTGCCGACTCCCTGCTGCCGCATCGACTGCTGCGACGGCAAGCCCGAGTGCTGCGATCCCGGCTTCGCCGCCACCGTCGTCGCCATGGCTGTCACCACGCCTGCGGCGGCTGTGACGACCTCCAAAGCACGACCAGCGGCAACGACTGCCGGCACCACCATGGCTCGTAAGGTTTCTGCCGGAAATTAGCTAGTGAGGTGCAAATGAGAGCCTTATTAGCTCACTCTTTGGAATATGTGTGTTGTGTGGATGTTTATCTTGGGACTTGCGCAGGTTTGCTGAAGTGCTAATAACAACAAACTTTGCTCTTGCAATTGTTGGCGATTCATTCAGCGATGCAAACTGAATCCCAATCTTTGCTCTTGCACCATTGCTCAAACTCGTGCCATGTTTTTTTTTTTACTAAAAGGAGTTTCAATCGGTGGTGGTTGGTTGACACCAAATTGTGCTGTATGTGTTTGTCAGTCACTTGTGATTTTTTTTTTTTACAGATTACCTTTGTTGCACTTTTATGAAAAACTGCTGAAGATTAAGGTATCTGTTACTGCTTGCTGGTTCTCGTGCTACTGTTCTCTACTGTTTTTTCTAAATTCTACAGCTGGTGCTGCTGCTGATGTGCTGTATTGTCGAGGCCACAATCAGGAGTCTGCGAGCGTGATCTCGCAGAGGGATAGGCGGAAACAAATTTCAGTTGGTGATTTTGTAGAGGGCCCACCTTTTAGTTTTAGCAAGTCAATTTTAGGCAATCTTTTGGAGGGATCTATATTTTAGCACCTCAAATTTTATTTAGGATTCACATAAGAATAATTTTGGGAATGAAATTTTGAGATACTCTTAGTGATGCTCTGAATCCAAGTGTACTTAGGGCATCTTCAATGTATCTTACCGAAGTCAGCAATAGCGTGGGCCATAGTAACAGGGTAGTAGTAGTTATTCACAACATCCACAATGTTTATGTAGGGGATGGGGAAGTAAGGTGGGGCCCGCTTTAGAAAAATTTGCAAGCTTTCTGCAGACATTGGCTTGATGTGTCAGAAGGAAACATTGTTTATTTGCTTATACCTGGTAGTAGCGCTACGATCCGGTATTAGTTCTTCACCACCTCCACAGTGTTTATTACCATGTAATAAGGTAATATTTAATGCTTACTACCTGCTATTTTGCTACATTGTGGATGCCCTTACGACGCAGACTTGCAGCTATGGGCAACGTTAGCTGGCCTAACAAACTACCGGGGTTTCTGGCTCGGTCCGTGGTGACAAGTCCATAACCCCAACAGGTGGGGTTGAGCTTGGAGCTGCACTTCATACTTGATATTCTACCTTGGCAGCATGATGGAGGCCTACCAGACTAATTAAAGTACTCATGATGCATTTGTGTGATGAGTGATTTTAAGGCCCTCGAGGAGGTAGCAGGTATTATATCGTGATCTCTCTCGGTACCTTAGTATCAGTAACAAATTTATATCAAAAAATTTCAGCCATCAAAAAATTTCCCTACTCTATATATATGACACCATAAACCATGTTCGATGCATCAACAAGAAGAATGTGGAATTAATTTTGTATATCATTGCAAGTAAAACAATAAAAAAGCAACTAATTCATCCATGAGGAAAACATATATTCATTAATTTCTAGTTGAAAATTATAAATGTACATAAACTAACGCTATTCAACCGTGATAATAAAATGACAAAAAAAGGACAGTTGTTAAAAATCTTTGGCGAATAATATCACTAAACAAAATCGACAAAATAAGCATAATCCTAGCTATATGCTATCCTTCAAAGAAAAACAACCACGTATGTATCATTTGTGGTTTTTTTCTCTTCAACAAATCAGATGCTTCTGTTGCCACTAGGATAGTGAGATAACAATAGCTAATGTATGTTTTTTTTGCGTGGAAAATCGACCAACGGTTCCCTCTTAAAGAAGCTGATAATTAATGTGCAATCTAATGTTGTGTCGTATTATAAATGGTTACAAAATCTCTTGTAGGGGATACGACTATACGAACCAATACACGGTTTCCTTTGTAAAGAAACGACAATATAGATATTTATGCAAACTTCGACGCAAACGACAACATATATCTTTCTGGGACAAACGACAAAAATACGATCTAAAATGGATATGATTCTTCAAAGGAAAATAACAAGGCATGTAACGGTGTTTACCATATCTTCTTGAGCGCCACATCATAAACCATGCGATTTATATATATAGTGTGAGAGTAATCTTATATATTCACCGCAGGTAGTATATTCTCAGTTGAAAAAAAAAATCCACGGAAGCATTATAATTTGCTCTCACATTTCGTGCACTACATCTTCTCGGTGGTCCCCCACTTCTCTCCAAAACAGAAATCCAAACGAACCGCACGGCAGTGATCAGCTATAGCTTTAACAGAAGTTGCCGCTGGGGTTCAGCATCGAGAGAAGAGAGATCGAACAAAATAAAAGCATGCCATGCCAACGCACTATGCCTGGTATCCTTAGCCATCCAGGTAGGAGAGAATGTCACACACACTGACACATACACACCAGCCGATGGATGGAGAGCTAGGCAACCGTTGTGGCTGTGTACTCTTTTGCTGCATCATCGATCGATCGCTCATCCATCGTCCATCCCGGCCCGGCACTGCACACACGCGCGTAGTACCATGCACCGTCCACTACGCTGGACCCCACACACTACCCCTCCCTAGTTCGCCTTCCACGTACGCACTTGGCGTCGTATCTGCAGATCGATCCTAGCTGCTAACACTAGCGGGCGCGGGGCGGGGTTAGCAGTGCACGTCACGCTACGGGGGTGCCGGGGCGCGTGAGCTAGCACGGGGCCTCCCTCCTCTCTGTGGTCACGTCTCCTGCTGCTCGGGCCGCTTACAAAAGGGGCCCCCCACCCCGTCTCCTCGCTACAGCTACACCACCACAAGCCTAGCGAGCTTGGTTGATTTTTCGTGTGCGTGCGGTTGTGTAGGCGAAATCCTCCGGTTTTTTCTCGTAGTTTGGGATCGATCGATGGCGTCGTTGGGTGGTGGTGGTGGTGGGCAGGGGCCGCCCAACGGCAGCGGCGTCCCAACCAACCGGCCGGTGTTCACCATCGAGGGCCGTGTCGTGGAGCCGCCCACCCTTACCGCGGCGCAGCTGGACATGATTAGGGTATATATACCGCAACTTTAGTTAACTGATCGTTCTAGCTATATGTATAGCTATAGTTCATTAGTCCCGTAGTACGTGCGTGATGATGTTGATTAATTTCTACTCAGTATAGTATATGCTTATCAGTGTTTTTATGATAGAATATTTCTCATTTAGTTATTTCATCATACTCCTTGTTAAATGAAAAAAAAATAATTTTGTATATATGTATCCATTTATTTTGTTTTGGGTCGTGAAAAAGTCGATGAATTAGTCCATCAATCGATCTGACTCTTATTTCGGTCATCTGCATGCAGTCAATGTATCTCTCGTCGCTTGGTGTGCCACCTGTCAACGGATTCTATCCGGTATATATACTACTGCTCCTCGCCATGAAAATGATGTACTATCCGTCAAGTTAATTAGCTTTGATTTATTTTTGGTAAACAAACATTAATTCCTATATATATAATATACATCGACTGGGTTATTCATGAACAATCATTTCTATCTGATATACTATATGTTTTTCTGATTGGCATGCATGCAAAAAAAATTTCCCACATGCAGGGCGCAGTACAGTACCCGAGAGGAGTGTTCGTCCCTTCAAACGAGTACGAGGCGGCAGGGGCAACTCGGGCTGCCAAAAGGGCCAAGCAGACTGACATTTCCGCTGAGAACGAGCTGGCCGCGAAGACCACCGGCACCACCCCACCACCAGCCGCGCCGAAGAAGTGATGCCCGCGAGATGGATACATGGCGCGCGCGGCCGGCCGGCGTCGAGCTCCATCGATTCCTCCGGCGACCGGCCGGCGTGCGTGCAGGCGACCGACCCAGCGAGCGAACGAATAAAATCAGGGGCGCCTCCAGCCGGGCGGCCTCTGAGCGTTACTATCTACTACTATTAGCTGTAGTTTTGCTATTTTCAGCGTGAAGACTGCGTGATAATTAAATAAGTGAGACCCGGCAGAAACCATGCGTTTGTGTGTGGTGTGTGGCATGGTGGACAACTCATATGCCGGTTGATTTACCTGTATGTACTCTGTGTGAATGTGTGATCGATAGATATGCTCGCCTGCAGTGTGTTGTGGTTTTTAATAATTTGGTGTGTTCGCGTGTGTGATCTTGTTTGTTTCCGCTCACTTGTTTCTTGAAATGTTTCATCTCGCCATGCATGCGTTTCTCTGTTGTTATTTTTGTTTTAACTGTTGGAAACAGGTGGTGCAACGTGCAGAGCGAGGAGCTAGCTAGGTTGCAACACAAGCATTGGGTTGCGCCAAATCAGACAATGATCGGCTGTTGTGAAGTTTTGCAGGTGGTGATTCTAGGCGCATCGACCTGAAGATCCTCGGAAGCTCGATCGCTTGAGGTTAGGCCTCAATTCCTCATCGATCGGGCTCATCGCGCCATCGAAGCCCGAAGTTCTTTCTTTGTGTATATCTTCGCATGTGTAGCCTGCAGGAACGTTAATTAATTTGTATATATCGTTCGTACTGCAATATCATCTCTTTGTAGTTCAGGTTTGTCTCATGAAAATTGTTAATATATTTTTACCAGCCATATTGGATCAAGATGTACATCATGTACTACCCATCTATATACAATACACGTGATTACTCACGAAGATGAGAGGCCTAACCTTGAACTGTTGACCAAAGTCAAGGAGTAATATTACACCCTCAGCCGAGAAACCAAAATATGTCGACGTATAGCAAAGTCGCAAGGAGGAAAAAGCGTTCGACGGCACGTCATAGCAATAAATTAATTCACTCAAATTCATCATTTATTTTTCTAGCTTGTTCTCATTGGTCTGAGCTAAAATCTGCAGAATATGCTAGCTTGATGTTATTTTACTCTATGTACTATAAATTAAAATTTGATTTTATTGCATCAACCATTATGGAAAACTGAAAAAAAGTTATAAATTAATTGGATGTGCATTCATGCATGTATATCTGGACTTGATAGACACAAATTAGAGAGAGATTGCAACTAGTACTACCTCCTTGAGTAAATGCAAGCTTTGTTTATATCTGAGTAAAGTCTATCACCGGTCCCTAAACTTGTACTGCTGTGTCATACCGGTCCCTAAACTCGCAAATCGACCGTTCAGGTTCTCAAACTTGTTTGACTGTGTCATCTCGATTCCTAAACTTGCAGATCACTCGTTTAGGTCCTCCAATTTGTTCAGTTGTGTCACCCCGGTCCCTAAAAACTTTATATCAAAAAATAATTCATATTTTTTTCATGTGAACTCTAATAAAGACAAACTTTATATCAAAATTATAGCCCTCGACACGACCTACAACTTTGTAGTTGAAAAGTTTTTGAATTAGAACTGTTTAGGGTCCCAAAATATTGTTGCATGTTTATAGATTTTGAAATTTTAATTTTAAAATTACATTTTGAGACAAAAAAAATGACTTAAAATAAAAAAATCAACTACAAAGTTGTAGGTCGCGTCGAGGGCTACAAGTTTGATATAAAGTTTGTCTTCATTAGAGTTCACATGAAAAAGTTATGAATTATTTTTAAATATAAAGTCTTTAGACCGTCCTATTTGACCCAGATGATATTCAAATCCAAGCTTAGGGGCCGGGGTAACACAACTGAACAAGTTGGAGGACCTAAACGAGTGATCTGCAAGTTTAGGGACCGGGATGACACAGTCGAACAAGTTTGAGGACCTGAACGGTCAATTTGCGAGTTTAAGGACCGGGATGACACAGCGGTACAAGTTTAGAGACCGATGATGGACTTTACTCTTTATATCTTCTATATCCTGCAACGTGTGGTTGAAATTCTGTCTAGTGGCATTCGATCACAGAAGCCGTTGACAACAGCATAAATCACAACAATTTGTTTTTCAATTGGAAGTGGTTCATATTGTAGTTGTTTGGGCACTTCTGTAAGCCTTGCACCTCTATTGAGTAATGTCTGAGTCGCAGCATCAAAGTCTGACCCAAATTGAGCGAAGGCGGTCACTTCGCATATCCAACTGTTGCTAGCTTTAATCTATAGTGTCATTTTCTTATTATTATGTGCTATCCCGATTTGGTTCATTCTTGCCACATTAATTTTAATACATTTTGATTTGCTACTAACTAAGTAATCTAAAAGAGATACAGTAATTTGACTATGTGGGTGTATTTATGGTCCAAAAGGTTGCCACATGCATGAGAAATTTTGCCACATCAGCATTATACATGAGAGATGCTCTCCAATATCAGCCACCAATCATGACGGCAACCAAAGAGGGTATGGCAACAATTAGAAAGAGGGTGATAGCCGAAGAATATATATGCACAACCCAATGAATAATCGACACCAAATAATGAATGTAGAACCGAGTAAAAGAAAGGAGACAAAGAAAATATGAAAACAATTAGTAATGTGTCCATAAACTGCAACGAGAAGATATTATTTGTTTGAAAAAACCACTGAGGTATATATAAAATTAATAAATGTCAATAAACCGTGATAAGGAAGATACAAAGTAACAATGGTCAAATAATCTTCGACCATAAATACCCTCTTGAGGAAATCGACAAATTAAGTATGAATGTACGGAAGCGCCCTCTTTCACGAAGACGAAAAAGTAAAATCCGATACCTTGTTCTTTTTGAAGGAAAGCGACAAAGCATGAATAGTTTGTGGAGTTTACTCTTGAACGAACAATTCTTATCGCCATAAGGATTGCAACACGACAATAACTGCTAACACGTACTCTTTCCTATGCAAAAAATTAATCAACGGTTTCCTCCTAAAGGAGCTGACAAAAAAAACTAATACAACACATATCGGAGTAAAAGACGTTATCGCGTAAGAAAATCAATGCATGGTTTCTACATAAGGAAACGATATTATAGGCCTTTCTACAAACTTTGGCGTAAACAACAAAATATGACCTGTAATGTATATGATTCTTTGTGGAAAATAATAAAGCATGTAATGCCGATTGCTATGTCTTATAAAATGGCCACAACAATATATGCCATGCATCCTGCAAATTATCTATCGTGCAAGAGTCATCTTATTCACTATGCCCAATGTTTTTCTAAAACAAATCACGGTAGTTAACATTACATTCTCATATTTTTCATGCACTGCATCGTTTTCCCCAACGCCAGTGATTATCCACTTCCCTCTATAGAACAAATGCACATGAATCATACATCACCGCTAGCTTTTAGGGGGGGGGGGGGGGGGGGGGGGAGCTAGAAAGGGAGATTGGCCGGCCGTCCGGGTTCAGGATTGAGAAAAACCGCACGCTGGTAGGAACGGAAACCAAAAGTAAGCACGCGATATAGCTAGTGTCACGTACGTACGCCAGCCGAAAGGTTAACCTGCCGTTATGGCCGGATGCCTGCAATACATATCCCTGCATGCTGCAGCGTGCATTGCATCCGGCGCCGCTCCTACGCACACGCGCACCACACTCCTCTACCATTAGTACGCGTAGTATATATACCACAGGAGACCACACCGTTCACCCTCCACGTATACGCACTCCCTAACAATCTCCACACGAGCAACCGCAGTTGGTGGCGTACGTATGTGTCGCACGTCACGCAGCTGTACGTGCGTGCGTTACGCCGATTTTACAGCTTGGCTGCAGGCTGATGCTGATGCTGCGTGCGTGGGTGGATTGGTACGTTTTTGCTCCTGCTCTCTCGCGCTTACAAAAGGGCCGGGGTCCCCACCGCACCACACTCAGTCCAGCACCAACACCACGACAAGTAGTCCACACTCCACATTCCACAAGCCTATCAAACTAGAGCGCGGTGTAGGTGAATTTTGGAGTCGAGCTGAACTGATCGTGAGATATATGGCGTTCTCCGGTGGTGGTAGGCAGCAGGGCGACGGCCCGTCCGACGGCGACGACGGCGTCCCCCGGTCGTTGATCGGAGGCCGCCCCCGCCCCATCCTGGAGCAGATCAAACTTAATGCCACACAGATGCACAATCTTAGGGTACGACGGCATATTTATGTGTGCAAATTTCTGTTTATGGAGTGAATTCTAAACTCAAATGATTGTGATCTTTTTTAAAAAAAAAATAAGATAGATTAATATATATGATAAATCGCTCCATATAAACATGTAAGTTAAAATTTAACTCCTACAGATTGCAACGAAAAAAAATCAAACTATAGCTAATGTATATATTCGCAGTCTAATTTGTTTCTTCGTTGTAACTTATACTCCCTCCATCCCATAATATAAGGGCATCCACAATGTTAGGAAAAAGCAGGTATTAGGCAATATAGTATTCCTATGACGTAGTAATAAGCATTGTAGAAGTGGGTAATAACAATGATAGGTAGTAAGCTTATGACTAGTTATAAGAATAAAAAAAACATTAAAATCTCTCTCACTCTCCTTCCAACACAAGAATGTACTACTACTGCATGCTGAGTTAGACAAAAAGCAATATTTTTTTCTCATGGGACCCACTTTACAAAGGCCTTCTTAGCTTAGCCTTACTAATTATTATCTAGATAGGCAAAATACATTGCTGTTGACTTAAAGGATTTTGAAGGGATGTGACATTTTCTAGGACTACGAATCTAGATGGGCTAAGCTAGATTCGTAGTCCTAGCAAGTGTCACTTCCCTCCAAAATCCCTTTATATTATTGGACGGAGGGAGTAGAAGTTAAATTTTATACAAATATATATTTGATCATTTGCCTCGTACAAAACTTTTATATAAATAAAAAAAAATAAATCTCATTTAAAGTATATTTAATAATAAAATAAATAAAAATTTTACTTATATAACATTTTAAATAAAATCAATGATCAAACATAATCTAAAAGTTAACAATTAAATAGAGCGAGTACCAATTAAATAACTCAACAGAATCAGTCGATCTGACTCTTATTCGATCGGCCACTGCAAGCAGATGCAGGTAGAGTACCTCGTGGCAGTCACCAAGACGCGGCAGCGTGCCAACGGAAGCGAGGTATAATTCGCGCTGCCACGCAATCCAAACATTCCATCCCCTTTAATTACTGTGTTCAATTTGTTGATTTTCATGCCCTTTTTTTTTTTCACAGGGCACAAATTCCCCTGCAGTTGGCACGCCTGGAATGTCGTTGGCCGCGGCGGCGGAGGTGGCAGTGGCCGCAGTGTTGGCAGCAGCGGCAGCGAGAGCGGCATCAGCAGCAGCAGATAATGCGAACGAAGCTGAAGGTTCCGGTGGAAACAAGCAGGAGGCGGCGGTGACCACCGCGCCTACTTCACCGGAGAACTGATGCATGTAAAGCAACAGCGTCTCCGTCCGTCTCGAGCTTTCCTCCTAGCTAGCCTACTGCTCAGCGTTAAGACTGGGCGCTAAATAAAGGCATGTTTAGTTCACAATAAACTTTTCTCCAACTCCCAATTTTCCATCAAATCCAAAACTTTCCTATATACATCAACTCTTAACTTTTTTTTTTCAAATTACCAACTTTCATTAAACTTCTCCCCAATTTCAGATACTATAAACACGGCCTAAGTGAGCTCCGGTAGAAGAACCATGCATGCATGATTGCCTCTGAGTGTGATCGATGATCTCGCGTGCCGGTCGACCTGTGTGCTGTGGTTTTCAGTAATTTGGTGTGTTTTCGCGTGGCATACACACCATGCATGCTAGACTGTGGGTGGTCTTGTTTGCTTTAGCCTTTAGGACATATGTTTGCGATTGTCTTTCGCTAATTTCGCGTGTTTCTCATAATTAATATTGCATCGCATTGGAGGTTTTTCGAAACCGACGCACCCAATCCACTCCAATATATCCAAAACTCATGTTTGGATGCTTTTTGACCTTTTCGTTCCGATAAAAAATATGGCACCCACGTGTACTAATATCAGCAAAATGACAAAAGTTCGCCGCATGAGTAACGAGAGATCTTTCGAAACGAACGCACCTATTCCACACCATTATGTTCAAAACTCATGTTTCGGTGTTTTTTTTTTTTGAACGTTTTCGACTCGGTGTAAAACATCACACCTACCTGTGTCAATATACGACATTAATTGACAAAAGTTCGTCGCGCGAGTCATTGGGAGAGTTTTCAAAAACGACGCGCCCAATCCACTCCAATATATCTAAAACTCATGTTTTTGTGCTTTTTGAAATTTTTCGTTCCGGTGAAAAACATCGCATCCACCTGTACTAATATATGACAATATTGACATTAATTTATAAAAGTTTACCGCACAAGTCACGGGGAGATTTTTCGAAACCGACACCAAATAAAAATTTACCAAGGTGTTTGACACGACTCAAAGTGATTTGGAGGGGGAGAGAGTTGATTCGCTTGGCCTGCACGGCACACGGAAGGAACACAAGGAAACAACCTATCTAATCGATTCAATCTACTATTTCTTTCCAAAACCAAATTTCACTACTTCCAAATAAAATAGATCTGATAATCTTCTTCCCCTGTCTGCACGACACCAATGCACGGGCAAAAACAGAACCACGGCTAGGTCTACATAAACCCTAATGCAACTCAACAACCTGATCCACAAAAACTTCTAAAAATTATAAAAATCAAACCCTGACGGCGAGACAATTCCGTTTCCAAAGTTCCCAACGACAACAAAGACATGGCAACGACAACGATAGTAGTACTTAACGTGACCAGAACTCAAAACTCTAAACAGACAAACGCTAAGACCAGCAACTCAGCACGACGATGTAACGCAAAACTCAACAAGGTAAAAACTGAAAAGAACAAAGAAGTGGCACAAAGATGGCAAGGTGATGGATGCAATATTTTTTATGGCTATTTTCTGGTTATAGGTAGAAAGAAAACTCACTGAGCAACAAAAGTTCTAATACCACTTGATAAACCCTGAGCTCCACTCGAGACACCGAAGGCTGTTGTTGGCCTGATCTTTCGGTGAGTTGATGATAACTACGATTTGGGAGAAGCATTGACAACCCAACTACAACCGTGCGAGATGTTGTTGTGTTACACCTTAGCAATCGATACACCTCTCCGTGGGTTGTTGATATTGCCAATGCATATCAACCTTATTCCTGTAAGCAAATCGAAGAAACAAGCAAGAACAAGATAAAAGCAATCTGAATTGTAGATAGGAATTGAATACAAATGATAAGTTGGGATTCCGTAACGAGCAAACCGGCGATCTAACCGATCACGGGATTACACAGCAAAGTAGCGAAGCTAAACTTTACTCTAAACAAAACCCAAGAAACCCTGAAGGGGAACCTAGCTATTTATAAAGGTGGGAGGACAACCTAGGGGTCCTTAGGGTCATGCTCCACCTGGTTGGGACGCACCCCACATGGGCTCCACTTGGGTTGATGTCTCAAATGAAGTTACAAGCCTATATGCCTATTACAGGTGACGCATCTCCTTGTTTATGTGATTGCGGCCAAACGAGATGGAATTTGGAGATAAGGCTGGATCCATTGGAAAGATGACTCTGAGAGCTTTCCATCAAATACTCATGGACCCAAAACGGAGCCCGTATGCATATTTGGCGGCCGTTCGAAGTCAACAATATAGCAGGTGGCCGAATAGGATTCTAGCACTTGGGCATTTTGATCTTGATGTGAACAACAGTTGTATCAATGGTAGCCTTGGTGTTGACAGAAAACACGAGGCCTGGGAGATCTGCTTAACTCCAGTGCAGGTCCAAAGCTCGCCTTCGGGTGTGCTAGCGTGCCAGTTGATTTGATCCTGTATCCAACAAGAAGTAGAAGCAAAGAAATCGAGGTTAAATCTATAAATGATAGCCGATCGGCTAGGTGCCGATGACATATCATTTATCTTTGAGCCGATGTCATATATGCATCGATCGATAGCCATTAATAAATAAGAAGGGACTAAATCTACTCGATCGGCTGCAGATATTACCAATATATAATCTTTATATTGATATATACTTAAATCAAGTGATTGGGATAGATCGGTCGCTATGCCGAGACAGTATAAATCACTTAGATTGAAACATATATTAATAATGAGACTATGTACGTTCATAGCATAGCCGATCAGATAGATCTAGCATGTATCGGCTAATACTCCGATACCACCTTATATTAAGATATTAAAGCAAGTAGAATATACTAAACAATAGCCTAATATACTTAAATGCAGCAAGATCTTAACGTAAAGGGCAGATTTAACATGTCAATCAAGCATATAGGATAAAAAGTAGTCAAATCAGGTAAGATCGGCTGAAACTCCGATGCTACCCTAATCAGCAACCGAGAAGCAAGCTAGAGATTGAGATTCTAATCACGACTCATAAGATCAAACTTAACTGATGCAGCTATAAGTATGAAAAGAAGGAAAATATCTAGACAATCAAGCCATTGGATGTGTCATAGAGTGGTAGATATCCTATATAATCTAAGTTAACATCGGTATTTAACTTAATCGGCTGCCTTCTATTGACGGATGTTTAGCCGATTGTAGGTTAGATATCAATATTGCCAGGGATTATGTAGGATATATGATAACTCGACGAATTACATAAACAAGATTAGAGTGTCATAAAGATGGAAGCACTAATCCCGAGAACGCAAGCCGTCATAACAAGTTTTACCTCTTGTTAAAGATCGAAACCGATGCAGCTCAACCCGAAAGCAAGAACTCGTCGAAATAAAACTAAAGCAAAAAAAGGGTGGCGATGCGCTGAGATTGTATTGAACGTGTGTTCTTTTTTGTTACATAGGGCTTGGGGTCTATTTATACCCGATAATTATAAGATATGTCCATACCGGACACGACTATTATCTCTAACAAACTCTAAGATATCATAATTTTTTGCGACAGACTTTTGCACTAAGCATATCTCTAAGGAAATTACGTAAAACATCCTAATTAATATATACAATTGCCTTCTCAGGACTCTATCCATGTGTGGCAATCATTTTGAAGCATATCGACTCAACTCGATGTTGTACACCAAGTCGTATTGTCGGAATCGACTGTATCACCAAACCCAGTCTGATTTAGATTTAGCCGATTCTAGTCGTAGCCGATCTGGACTCTAGCCGATTCTTACTCTGTTCCCGCAACAATCCTTATCTCTGACTCCGCTTCGATCCCATCCTCACCTCCGATGCTGATATTACCAAATTCGGTTGTTAACACATGCCCCCCAAGTCCGGGATATTTGGTAATGTTCCGGATTTGCCGTGTACCGACTCTGAGCAAATTTCGCACTTCGCCGTTTTCCGACCGTTATTGCCGTGCTTGAAATACTAACCGTCACCCTCGAGAAATCTCACAACGTGACTTCCGTTTTCACCACTCAAGCAAACTTTATCCTCTCTCTCTCTCCGGCGATTCCTCCGATGCAAAAGCGACTCCCGGGCGACTTCATCTCCGGCGAGACCTCCGCCTGCAGCGATGTCGTCTTCCACCAATCCATCTGATGCGTCATCAGCCGAGTATGCTGAGGTAAGTCCCCACCGGCTAGATCCCCTTTTCTTAGCAGCAGATCGATTTTCTCCTATCTTACATCGCTCTCTTTCTCTCGGTTGTCTTGGATTTGTAGCATCTCTCCAACCGAATCGCGATTCCAGGCTTATCACACGAAAACTACTACTTTCTCGGCCTAGTCGGCAATCCTGATCCCACTGAGTTTATCATTGGTGAAACCAATAGGATTCCCTTCAGATTAACCAACCCAGATCTAGGTCATTGGAAGAACACCTTTAAATCTTGGCCATCTCTAGAGAAAGTTCCACCCGAGAAAAGTTGGACCACATGGTTCAAACGTGTGTCAACAAGCAAAAGGATTCACTGGGACGAAATTGGAATCGGCTAAGCACTTGACCTCACTATAGCAAATTCGGCCAAAGATGAACCCCTGATGGCAACTGCTTCTTACTTCTGGTTAAACACCATCAATGCCTTTTTGTTTAATCAAGGACCGATGACCCCAACTCTCATAGATATCAGCATGATCACGGGTCTGGATGTCACCTCATCGGCCAACCCTATGAGTTTAAATACAAAGAATCAATATGACTTCAAGACCAAGAGCATAGGCGGCTGGTCAGGCTATGTAGCAGCATATATGGGCCAGGGTCCAGTTACCCCTCGAGAACATGTGGCTTTCCTGTTAATGTGGTTAGAAAAGTTTCTCTTTTGTGGGTCTAGCTGCGGTCTTACAAATAAATTGGCAGTTCGTAGCCGAAGCCTTGGAGACAAAAAGACAATTTCCTTTAGGCAAAATCCTCCTCGGCTACTTGTACCAAATGCTAAATAATGCATCGGCTAAGCTAATTGTCGGCTCAGTAGTCGGAGCGGGTGGACCATGGTGGCTGCTGCAATCCTGGCTAAACTTGGTAGTCATGAGGTTTGTCAATCGGCCATCTGTAACAGAAACTGAATTCCCAAGATTAGAGCCGACTGTTAACGATGATGGAGAGGAACTCACTCATCGGAGATGCACATCATATGGAGAGTACGCCTCTACACCAACTGATGCAAGAGCAAAACTATCGGCCGAGCTACTCAAAGATTGGTTTTGTAGCTTTT